ATTAATAGGCACATCTAAAAACTGGGAAGAACAAACTACTGGATTTTTTATAAATTATGAAGACAAAAATGAAAATTTCTTTGAAACTACAGCCATAGAGAACATATGGACCAATATGCAAATGCCATCTATTAAAATCAAAAATTACCATCAAAAGAAACAGCTCAATCAAAAGAACAATCAGTTCTATCGTGAAAAAGCTGTTCACAAATCCGGGATTACACTGATGAAAAAAACTCAGCAGAAATTCAAAGGAGCGGAATTAACAAAAAGAGAAATCTCAACAACAGGCAACAAAAATAATCATGGTATTTTACAAAAATCAAAGATTCAAAATAAGAAACTCAAGAAATTTAATACAACAAAAACATCCAAAGAATTCAAGAACACGTTAGGATTAAAAAATCTGGCAGGTATACGAGAAGTACATACATCTCAATTCTTATCACCTGATGTTTACAACACAACACTGTTACAGAATAATGTCATCTCTGTTCCCACAAAAACAATGGTTAAAACAAAAAATAATGATAGTAATGAAACAGGACACAAGGATTGTATGTACAACTTTGACAGCAGGAATGAAAGAATACAGGTGTTAGAAACTTATAGCATAGTAATCAGAGGAAATAAACCACACTCAGAAGATAAAGATGCAAAAATAACTTCATTATCAGAATGGCCAAAACTTCCAAACTCAGTAGACACTGAAAGCCTGGAGACAACATTAAATGAAGTACCATTTAAACAATTATGGTCTGATATAATGAAATCAAAAGCCTGGTCACAGAAGCCACTGAAAACATCCCCTTCTTCAAAGGCTTTATCTTGTACCAGTTTTCCAGAGATATCAGTACATTTAAATGCAAATAGAACAGAAGATGGAAAAAAGCATGGAACTTCATTATTTTCTATCAAAGCAATAAAGGAAAATAGAAGTTATGTTTCCCTTTCACTTCCTGAAAATACAAAACTGTCAAACATCACATCCAATGTAAATCACAGATTACTGCAGAGAGAGAGAAAAGCAATTTTTCGTCATATTTCAGAGTTAAAAAACTTGGCTTGGTCAGTGAGTCCCTACAACCAGATAATTCAAAGAAATCAACAAACAAACAAACTCAGAGGACTTAAAGCATGGAAAACAAACAATAAGAACGTATGTAAAAATAGTTCAGATATTCTCAGTAATTATAAAAATAAATCTTATGGTCTTTCTATAAGCAATTTGAACTTGAAAAGTAAAGATCACGAAGAGAAGTTAAACGATTTTGATACCTTTGCACATAGTACTAAAATGAAAAATCTCTTCCTAAATGAAGAATTTTCTGGAATTTGGCAAAATAATTCAAAATCTACAGTTAATGAAGTAGCCAAGCCTCCAATATATAACAGAGCATTTTTAGATGATTCTCCTAAAAAATCAGATATGATTGTGCAAATGTTTGCAAAATCACACTTGCCTATGAAACAGGAAATACATCCTTACTATGAAACTGAAACACAGATCTGGTATGAAGCAGCAAAATGTGGAATTAAATTAGTACACTCTTCCAAAGGCACATTGAATGGATAGGCTCATTTCAGAAACTCCATTTTGAGAATTCTGCATTATTTAATAAGCAATGCATACTTGTAGCTTTTTCAAATGCAAAATAATTAACACTTAAATGTAAATGTATTTATTTTGAAGAAGAGAGGTGAATACCTAAATATTTATGACATTCTTCTTTTAAATATTTCTGGCTTCCCCCCAAAAAAATTATTATTTTATTTTAAGCAGTAATACATCATAATTTCCTCTCATAATTATTAGGGCGATAACTGGGGGGGACATCATCATTTAATGGCATTAAATACAAAATTTCTCAGCAAACTATTCATTTGCTATGATCATCAACTATAAACATCCAGTTGTTTTGATAAAAGTATTTTATGAAATCATATTTCAAATTTTGTATACAAACAGTTTATTTTCAGCAATTTTAAACTATTATCGCTTAAAGCACAATACAGTACAAAGTCCGAATCGGGACTTCGGCGAATCTGAATCTGGGACTTTTCTGGATAATAGATCATCAGTTTAAATTTAGTAAGATGGCATGTAGAAATTATAAAATTAAAAATATGAAATCATGATTTATGAAATAATGAAGTATTTATGATCTAAAGCAGTGGTGCCCAACCTTTGGCCTCTCGCGAGCTCATTTCCAAAACATCAACATTTTTGTTAAACATATTTCTAATCTTATGTGATACAAATGAAATATTAATTTCTGCAAATTGGTTTGAGACGAATAATAATTTTGGTTAAACTTTATGGAAATCAGAGAAGTGGAGTTCAAAAATTTTTTTTAGGGCATTTAGGTTTTCCGAGTATTTTTCTGCTTCAATTGCCTTGTGGTTATAAAGATAAATTCTGAAAATGGGTGAAATTTTTTTCTTTCATCTGATTTATCCACAAATTTAACTTTATCTGAAAAGCAGTTACAGTCCCAGTACACTGAAAAAGGGGTCTTTTCTTTTCCCTGGAGATCTTCGTTCAGTTTTTTTTCAGTTTAGCTGTTATATCCGTGAGAAAATACAGATCAGATAACCATTATCGTCCAATTCTTTATAACTTTTGTTTCCAGATTCCAAAAACTGCTTTATTGGCTATAGAAGTTCCACAAATCGTTGAAGTACTTTTCTTCTGATGAGCCATCTAACATCCGAATGAAGCAATAAGATTCCATGTTTGCTAACAAGTTCAGCAGTTAGCAATCAATTATTTTATAACGTCTTGCAAGATATCTCTTATGACTATAACTGCTTACCATATTTTAACAATCAAGAAATATAAATGAATGCCAATTTTTAAAATATTTTTTGTTCATAGTGATTAATCAGGCTGGCGAACACAAGGTTGGACACCGCTAATCTAAAGGGTATCAAAATTTAAAAAAAAAAAAAAAAAAAAAAAAAAAAAAGCTTAATATTTATTTGTTTACCTTATTAAACATTTCTTTCAATATAAGTTGTTTTAAATTGCTTCGTTTCTTGTGCTAATACTTTCTCTTTAATTCTGTAGATAGACATAATCTCTTGTTTAGTTACATTGTTGAAGTCCTGTAACTGCTGTTTCGAGAATTCCGACTAACTTGTCAATCAAAATTTTCTCGTTTTCAGTAACTTCTCTGTCATATTCTTCACTATCTTAGCAGTATTTTCTGGATCTAGAACCATACTAAAGATTTTCCATTCATGATATAAAAACTTTTATATCATCTTCATTTATTACCGCTTCTCCAAATTTCTTTACATAATCCGTTAACTGGAAAATTTTACCTTTGTTTTGCGATATCCAAAAACACTTAAAATTAGTGGCTATCATCATCAAATTAAGCTATCCTTTACTATACATATTTGGCTATGCATCATGAGCTTGGAGACTAACCACAAGTTGTTCCGTTAAATTTTATCTCACTTCTATCTTGCACTGAGACAATTAAGCCTGAATTGTATTAGTTATTTATTATACTTATGTCTATTTCTTGCACATGTTTAAGGGTTAGCAGAGTTCTGAATAAATAAATTCAAACATATACTTAAACCTTATTGAGGGTTAGCGCTAGATATCTCACTGCCTGATGCGGTCTCTGTGAGTCCTAAATTCTGTGATTCAGCATGGCCATACAAGCTCTGGTGCTGGTTCTAAGTTGATGTGAATAAACAAATCAGTTATTCTTAATTCAAATAGCAATCTTTGGGTTCATGAGTATCATCAACAAAATCTATTTTTAGCATATGGAAAGAAAATTTTGGTAAATTTTTCCTCGTCAACATTTTTAGCACATTTAACTTGAATCTGTAATCATCGCCAAGCATAATGTCAATATAAAAATACCATACTCCTTTATTATTGAATTACTAACATAAAAAAATTGTTTAGGCATCGCTATATGAGTCATTACTCAAGTTGTCATGTTATGATAATGCGGTGGATGAAAGGAAAGTATAATAAATAATAATTCGCCAGATCAACGATGTATCTATGTGGAATGTTTCGGTTAGAGGTGTGTGTAGCAGACACGCAGCAACAGAGCCAAATTATCGATGGTACAAATTTATGCTAAAATGATTGTTTCTTCAATAACAAGGTATTTTATTTAATGTCTTATTTAGTGTTGAAGTAAAATTAAAAATCAGGGACTTTCCAGATGTTTTATTATGTGCGGTGGGGGGTAATCAAATGCGTATGTGTAAAGCTTGCAAGAAAAATTTGGTTGGTTTTGAGGTCCGGATTTTAGACCATTCCGGATATTGGACGTCCGGATTTCGGACTTTGTACTGTATTAGGAAGGCATTTTTACTTATTTGTAAAAATTGCAAAAATATGTATAAAATACAGAAAAAATTCACGATAAGGATGAAAGACTTCATAAATGATTTTAAAACCTATTAAAATTAATTCTAGTAATCAAAGACCAAGTACAGAATACTATATAGGAAAAAAACACATATACACACAAATACATAAAATAACTTTTATTAATATGGAAGTTTTTACAATATATGACTTTACAAGAAATGTTAATAATTTTTATAATGCTTCAACCTGAAAAAGGAAAAGAAAACATATATTGATAAAATTTCAAAAGCACACCAACATAAATTTTACCAACACATATATCATTACATTGATGATATTATAGCCTTTAACAACCATAACAAAATAGAAGCTGCTAATATCTACCCAACTTGCTTAAAACTAAATAATACAAATACGGTGCAAAATAATGTAGTATACCTTGACCTAAATATTATTGATTACAATTTTATTAAAGTCTACGACAAGAGGAGAGAATTCACTTTTTCTACACTAAAGTTAACCAACTGGAATTCTAATATTTCCAAAAGAATCATCATTAACACAATTTTTTCACAGCTACTTAGAATAAAAAAAATATGTAATACTACAGAACACTTACAAGAAGAAATACTTTACTTCGTCACAATCTTGAAAAATAACCAAATTCCTCATAAAATAATTAAAAATACCTTAAAAAAAGGTGGCATTAGCCTTACCAATTTTTAGATAATTAGTTTTGGATAATGAAATTTTATGCTTAAAGCCCAATGGGACGGCATAAAGTAGATGGCTGATTCAGATAATCTAATGTAAAAATTGTATAAATGTACAGATTTTTCTCCTAAATACATTTTCTTTCCTCCAAAGATTTTGGCACTACTTTAATACTATTATTTAATAGTTTTAAATTACTTAGAAGGCCAAACTCTACTATTATTAACAAATCGGGCCTTTTCATTTTTCATAGTAGCTTGACTGCCCTCTAGCTTGAATAATGACGACTTTTATTAACAAATGACTTTTTTCCAATTTACTCTTTCTTTTGTGGCCAAAAATAAGTAATTTTAGCTGAATTAGCCATTTTCACTTACTTTTAGCAGTTTTGTTCTTCTAACAACTTGACTGACGCCATTTTGAGTTCTTTCCATGTCTTTTCTCGTTTGTCACACCCTTCTATAAAAAAAGGGGGTATAGGAATTCCCGCCAAACTACAATCTCAGCCCATTGGCCCATGCAGTTTTTATTGTTTCCCCTACCTACGTCACACGACGAAAAGGAAGGTTGGTTTTTCATGGAGGGGTTTTGAACCTCTTTCTAAAGATTTTTCGGATGGAAAGGACGGCACCTCTCAGGTCAGTTTTTTCGTTTCTATTGTCTTGTTTTTTTTTTTTTTTTTTTTTTTTTCCTAATAAGACCCTACGATGTTTGTTTTCTTACAAATTTAATTCCATTTTTATTTGATCACAGCACCATTATCTTTATAAAAGTTATATCTTCTTTAAGCTATACAGGACCAGGCCATACGTTGTTGTAATTTTTGACTAATAGCAGACCGCTATTTATTTTATTTTAATTTTACTATGCTCGGAGTTGCAATTACTTTTAACACCCTAATGTGTTTTTCGGCGGACGCGTCGGGGAAAAGGAACAGAGCAGTGAAGCTCCAAAAAAGATTTTTTTGGGAATATTCATGTTTTTTATAAAAAATTTTTCGCATTAAACAAGAGCTTCAATGGTCTGTTTCGGTGAAATGCGTAATGGTATTTAACCTAGTTCGACACTCAGTTTTTTTCCCTTGAAAAGCCAATTGAGGGTACGAGTGGGTTAATTTACCATTTTCCACTATGTAATTATTGTATTTTTGTATTGTTGCATACTATGTTTTCATTTTAAGTATTGACATTTTTTCAGTCCATATTTTTTTTTAAAATGTTTTAAATTTTCATGTATATATATATATTTTTTTCCGTCTATCTATTTTTTATGTGAGTTAACTTTTCACATATCACAATGGTCAGATTAATTTTTTGCATGCATCAGCATGTCTTCCAACATTAATTTTGGCAGTCTTTTTCGGGAGTTTACAATTTTTTTCCAGTTTTTCCAGACAAATATTTCTTTTTAGTTTATATTTTAGTAATACAGCGTTGAAATATTTCGTGGAGCTACAGCTCCTGGTAACTTTTTAGCAAGATCGCTGCAATATTTCTACCTACTACTATTATTTCACAGCCAAATAAAAGTTATACTAATCTATTTTTTAAAGGTAGAAATGCTGGATCATAATGAAATCACAGAACAAAATCAAAAGAGATAGAAAGAAAATAAGTGACACAGAAATGATAAATTGTTACCAAAATTATTACATAAAAATATCTTTTTATTCAAATATCATAAAAATACTGCATTAACAATAAGCACATTTTAAATCAATATACCCCAAAGAATACTGCTAAAAGTAAAACAGGGTTCATAGCCACATTTTAGTTAAAAAAATAAGCACCTATAAGCACTTTTCAAGCACATTTTAAGGAAAAAAATAAGCACCTGTCTAATTACATTATACACAACTGCATAACCTTAAAAGAAAAATCAGACTTGTAATTTAAAATATGAGCAAATTCAGTATTTATTAAGAGAGAATGAGCATTACTCTTAAACAATGGAAAACAATTAACTTTTTTTTCTTTTTTAAAATTTTCAAATGAACAGTTCAATTTACAGAACTTAGTTTACAACGAGAAGAAGGAAAAAACTATACAGAACTAAATTATATTACAAAATTTAATGATGATAATTTCAGTTCGAAGTAGGAAATAGAAAATAATAATAAGCCATATTTAATTGTATTCCGTTTGGCACCTAATAAATAAATACAATTTATTTTTTCCACTCGTATTAATATTTAAATAATTTAACTTAAATCAAAATTCTGAACATTTTCTAAATTTTCATTCCATAACAGTTTTCCCTTACATATAATCCCAAACAAAGTAATTTAAGTAAAAAAAGAGGCACATTTCTGAAATCAGAAGACGGGAAATTGCTTCATGCAGTCATCCTTTAACAGTAAAAGCTCAACTAACCCGCATACTAGGAAATTCCCAAATATTCCGGATAGTAACTGGAAAAAAACAAGAGCAGGGAGATTGTAGCCGTTCTTTAGATTTCTCAATTTAAGGCTAAATACATTATTTTGACATTTCGATACGTGCATCATATAAACATAGACCAACGGAACTGAGAAATATTCTGCTTAGAAAGCACAGTAAAAAACTCTGTTATCTGCCTTGCAGTATAAACAAATCTCAGACTGAACATCAAAATTAATTATCTCAGCAAAATACGGCAAACGTTATTGCTCAATACATGCGGCGTAATTCTTCTTGCACGTATGTGTTATTACGCAATCGGAATCAACAGCTGCCGGTATTCGGAGAAGAAAGAACTAAATAAAGGAAAAGAAAGAGACTTACTAATCTGGGGTGTTTCTGATTCTAATTTTTCAACAGACTGTATTAAATTTCCGGAATAGAATCAATCTTCGCTTGGGTTGGGTAGACCGCAAAAACTTTTAATCCTATTCAATCCAGATTGGACAGTGACAAAAAAAAAGTCCACTGCTTCAATATTAGAGATTTTGCGGAGAAACTCCCAACCTCCGTACTGTATAATGTATTGGCAAAGAAAATGAAATTATTTTGACTATTCAATTACTTTCCTTTTATTTAAGCCATTCCGAATATTATTCCTTAGAAAGCTAATCTGTGTAAAAACACACCCATTTTTGGAAGTTTATCTATACTTCAGCAGTTACTGCAACTATATTATTATAAATATTCATACATATGCTCATAATATAAGCATAACGATCACAATAAACATGAATATGAACTGACCACACGGAACGAGAATGCAAATTATTAAAATCTTGATAGAAATTCAAACGTGTGTAGTTTTTGGGTGGGAGGAAAAGAATAACGAATGTACCGGAATTTTCTACCGTTTTCGCAATTCTTTGGCCAATGGAATGACGTGCACCTGTCTGTACTCTCGCGCGCACCATAGGTTACGTTAATGCGGAGGAAAGGGGGGAAAGCAATTTCCGGGAGTATGATTCACCATCTGATGTTGCATATAAGGAAGAAAAGTTGTTTATTTAGTTTCAGCTTTGGTACGGGGAAAAAATGCGCGTTCATTAAAAACAAAGGATTTAAAAAAAGCACTAAAAGCAAAAAATAAGCACTAAAAACAAAAAAAATAAGGGCTTTAATGAAAAAGCAAGCACTTATAAGAGCCTTTATATTTTATTTTCAAATATAAGGACTTATAAGCACTTGTAAGGACCGCTACAAACCCTGTAAAATAATGATAATAAAAGTAATAATAATATGATCTTTTTGAATGAGCTTATATGCTTATTCCCTCCTGAAAAACCCATCATTTAAAAAAACGCATTGATCATGCCTAAATCTTTAGAAATTCTCAGTGGCACAAGAGTGCTAAAAATTACTTAAGATACATTAAGAATTCCTTTACTACCACAAAGTTAATTATAAATGTAAGCATGAATAGCAAATTATTTTACAGTTTGCTATTTATCAACTGAACTACCAATTTACAGACCTCTAAGACTCACTTGAGCTTAGAATGCTGAAGCTATAAAGCATTTTGCCTTTTATATTCATGCTAAAAATAAAAAATTACGTCATACCATTTTCCCCAAATAAAAATGTTGAACACATTTACTTTATGAACAATCAGATAGTATAATTCATTATCTAAAGAAAAGATGCATTATAAAACAGAAAATTTCTTCAAGAATTTGAATTTCTCTATTAGGATAATTGAAATATAAAATTGTATCCATGTAAGGTTGTTTGTAACTATGTTAGAACAAAAAAACAACTTAATACAGAAAAATAACTTAAAGATGATTTCATTTCTTGATTAATTTTTTAAATAATATAATGATTTTTTTAATTCACCCCAATTCCCTAATTATTCTTAATCTGCTATGATGCCCTGACAAGCAATATCATTCTAAAGAAAGAAAAAGACTTACCTAAATATATATGTTGTTCCAACATTGTTTCCAACTGAAAGATATCCACTATTCAATGAAATATCTAATGCATTAGGATATCTTAGCTCATCTTTTAGAGGAAAGTTAGAGAATACTGTCATACTGGGAAAATGAACCTTGAAGATAAATAAATAAGAGAAATGAATGGAGAATTTAAGGAGACAGTCCTTTAAGTCTACATAAAATATATTAAATATATGTAAAAAATGTTAAAAGATGTATTAAAATTTATTACCCATTTATAAAAATTAAATTTCAGAAAGGAAGAAAATTTTACCTAAATTATGTTATTATATAAACAAGCAAGAATCTCCTAGTAATATTAAAAATAAACAAAGTGAAGACAGAATAACAAACTCTTCATCATTTTAATTTACCAGCAAATTAAAACTCTTAAGTTAGGTATTCATAGTTTTCATTGAAGCAGTTTACATAAAAAAAAAAATGAAGTTTTAATCTAAAATTAAATATTAAAACTTGAAGGAAAAAACTGAATTAAAATATGAAATTTATAGAATTACATCTTTGTTTCCCCTGTATTTGTCAGAAATTTTTAAAGTTAAAAGCTACTTATCATTTTTAAAAAATGATCAAATATTGGTTTAGATAGTGTATGTGTTAATTTACACCTGGAACTTTAGCAAACCTTTTTACTTCCTTGTACAAAGTAAAGAAAGTATTGTAATTACAAAAAATTCCGTGTAATATATTTCAACAAAAATATCCATTTTGACCACTATCAAATGCAATTTAACAATGTTTTTGTGTGACATCTCTACAGAATAAAGGACTCTTTTTCCTCAAAAGGATTATAAAATTAATTTAAAATGGATTCAGAAAAGACTTTTTCGTGATGTCTGTATGTACATATGTACGTATGTATCTATCTCGCATAACTCAAAAACAAGTAGTTTCCGAACATTGAAATTTTATATACAGGCATGCTATAACATGTAGCTGTGCACCTCCCTTTTGGGTTGCACCATAAGTATATATATATATATATATATACCCAATCTGTGACTCGACTTGGTGACCTCAGATTTTTTTTATTCTTATATGTTTATAAATCGTGCATTGTTTGCTTTAAAAAAATGATTGAAATATGTTATTCTTATCTTCCAGATAAGGTTTGTTTTTTATCTTTAGTTAATCTGCATGCAATAGTCTTAGAATTATCATCAATTTAAAAATTATTTAAATGCGGCTAAGCCTAATTTTTTTACCATAATGGCCATATTTGTTTACATTTGAAACTTATCAGAATAGTGAATTAAATCAGTTTCTGCATCTTCAGTGTCATTTTGCCTAATGGGACCAAAAGTAACATTTCAGTTTTGTGCACTATAAAATCTGCATTGTTGCCTGCTGGCTGAATTGCTTGCTTTTGTGTAGAAACTAATTTTAATTGTTAAAAAAAAAAAATTTGTTTTTATTGTTTTAACTGTATTTGGTGCTTTATGTTTTTATGTCTCTTTCAATTTTGAATGAAGATATGCAAGTTTTATGCATTTTTGCATTGTGGCGAAGTGAGAACTAAATTAATTGAATGAGAAATATATTTCTAATAAAATTCAAGGAAATTAGCCTGACCCCTTTCTGTTACACTATTTTCAATGTTTTGGATTTTTCATTAAAAATTTAAAAGGCATTAAGCAATCAATTGTTCGTGGAGCAATTTAATCCTATACAAAACTGCATGATGCTACAGGTGGACTGGAATATTCAAATATTGTAAAGTACACTGGGCTATGTATCAAAATTTCATCCCAGTTTTAATTAAAAGCACACTCAGGCATAGAATTAAAGAGTCTGATATACATCTTCTACTATCATGACTTCCCCTCTAAGGAAAAAAAAAAAAAAAGACTTTCACATAGCCAGATTTAAAAGTGTTCCCATTCAGATAATGCACTCACACAGTTTAATGCAAAATATAAGAAATCTTAGCCAAATACTGTATCACTCAAACAAGCAGTATTGTTAACTTTGATTGCACAAAATGCTTATCAATTTTTCAGTAAACTTTTCCTTATGAAACATTAGGGTTCAATAGAATCCATTCCAGAAATGCATATTTAGAATATATGATAATACAAAATAAATTTAAGAAATCAAATTAAATATAGTTCAAAATTTCTTTGGAATAAGAATGATCAGTTGAATACAATGAAATAAAAATCTACTTATTCTAAATTCTAATAATATTTTAAAGACTCAGAGCAAATCATTAACTGATTTTGAAACAAAAAATTACTTCCAAGTCTATTTGCTCACATATTATATTACATTTATCACTGTTTTGTCAAAATATAATAAACACATTATCTTTGATAAAGTATTGTTAATGTCTGATTCCATTTTGCAATGAATTTTAATAAAGATCAGCAACTGTAATTTTGACATACATACCAGTTTAACAGCTTGTGGTTTATGTGAAGAAGACAGAGCAAGTAATTCTGAAGTACAATTAAATTTCATATTAGTAACTTCTGTTGTTAAATTCATTATAACTTTCATTGGCTTGGGGTCAGATGTTGACAGCAAACTACTATTATCATATATATTTACAACTCCAGAATCAGACCTAAAAATCACGCACACACACACACACCAAAAAAAAAAAAAAAAAAAAAAAAAAAAAAAAAGGAAATATTTAAACATGTAACATTTGAACAATAACTATTTATAAACAGTTAAAAAATAATCATTTTTTCTATATAACTGAATTCTGTCATTATAAAGAAATGATACATTCTTTGTACAACTGGCGATTATGCTGCATTTGAAGAATTGCTATGGCTGGAAAAGTCATGATAGAATGAAAGATGATAAAATAATTTACTTTCATTTGTGTATTTCAAATACATGTGCATAAATTTTAAGATACGAGGGTTGCTTTTATTTTTTCTGGCCTAATAATGAAAAAACAAAGGTGTATGATCGAAATTGGTGTTAATGTTTTCCAAAATATTCTCCATGCAGATCAATACAATTTTGCATGTCTTAAAACCAATTTTCGAAGTACTTTTCCCGCTCTAATTGAGGTAACTCCAAAACTTGTGTTTTGAATGCATCAACCGCTTCTTCGGGTGTTGCAAATAGCTGACCACATAATTTATTTTTGATGTGCGAGAATAAAAAAAAAAAAAAAAAAAAAAAAACATTGGGTGCCAAATCAAGGCTGTCTTTGAGCCCATCCACAATTCCTTTTTTTGAGCCAATGTGCGAGAGTTCGATGATGATTATCATGATGAAGAATGCTTCGCCTAGTCCTCTGCTTTTTTTGAAATTTCTCCGATGACTTCTGGCAAACAAACGGTCGTGTACCGTTTGTTTGCCAGAAGAAATTTGGGATTGACTGTCCTGCATTGCTCTAATGCCACTGTCACCACATGACTGGTAATGCCGAAGAAACAGGCAACCATTTACTTCAATGTGCTTCTTCTGTGAACAATGTCCTTCCATTTTGTTGGATTTGGCTCGTCTTGGAAGATCTACACAGTTGATTGCTGTTTTGTTTCAGGCTCACATGCATAGATCCATGATTTGTCACCTGTTTAGATGTTATACACAGCCTTTGATGCAACTTGAATGTATTTTTCCAACATTTCCTTGCACCAATTGACACGAATCTTCTTTTCAGATTATGTGGGATCCAACTCGAACAAATCTTCTTTACGGCCAAATATTCAAGTAAATTAAACATGAACAAATCTTCTTTACGGCCAAATATTCAAGTAAATTGAACATGAACAAATCTTCTTTACGCCCAAATATTCAAGTAAATTGAACATGAACAAATCTTCTTTACAGCCAAAAATTCAAGTATTGATGCTTAAACTAACTAATGCCCAATAAGGCCTCAATCTCATGATATGTCACATGACAATCTTGCTTTATCAATTCACGCACAGCATCAATATTTGCTGGCACAACAACCCATTTTGGATGACCTTCACTGAATTCGTCCTGGAACGAACGTCGACCACGATTGAATTCGTTATAACAGTTTTTTACAGTGCTGTAGGATGGTGTTTTATGACTGTATAAAGAATTAAGCTCATTGAAGCATTCGTTTTGATAATCCATGTTGAAAGTTATGAAAAATAATTGCACAAAAATGTTCACAAGTCAATTCCATTTTTTGTTAGAGATGAATTTTTCAATTTACTGTAAACAACAGAAATCATGCTAAAATGACATAATCGTATGAAAACGTTATGGTTAAAAATATCAAACTTCCAATTGGAATCGTCTGCGGTTGCCTAGCAACACTTACTGTTGCCAAGGCCAGAAATATAAATAGCAACCTTCAAGGGAAAATTTCATAGGGGAGCACTGTGTTTCATTAAATACACTACAGTTAAAATAAAGAAATCAAACTAAGACGGCTTTGAAATTTCACATTAAAGAACACAAAAAACAGAGATTCATGACTTTTTCAGTAATAATTAATATTGCTCTCTTAACAATTTAACAAATATTTTGTTAGTTCTGTTTAAATTATTCAAATGTTTTACCATAAGTAAGTACGTCTACTCCAGAAATAGTGTTAAAATTTTAAGTCATTGCTAAATGTTGCCAATAATTAAACATATATATATACACATACTTGCCAACCTATGACACTCAAAAATCAGGAGATTTTTTTAAGAAATCGGGAGATTTTTCACAATGTTAAAAAGACTTTTTAAATGAGGAAAATAAAGTTATTAATAATGAATTAACTTTAAATAGTAACTAATTCTTAAAATGCAAGCAACACAAAAATACCTTACACATAAAAAACATTTTTATTACTTGCATCGTTTAAGAAAACAAAACAAAACAAAACAAAAAACACAAAAAAAAAAAAATCCTTTAATCAGTTTTTGTACAAGTGGTATAAACAGGTGCAGATTTTGCTTTCTTTAAGAAAGAAACTTCATAATTTTGTTCATAGCAATTGCCACATAGGCCTGCTTTCACTAATAAAAGTTTTCTAATGTGTCATCACTAATATTAGATCTAAATTCAGTCCTCGTTTTCACAACAACACTGAAAATCCTCTCACACTCTGCATTACTATGGGGAACTATCAAGATGGCCAACATAATTCTAGACAGTTCTCTATATTTTAAAATTCCATCAGCATCTTTCAGTTTTCCAATTTAACTCCACTGGGTGTCAATCCTAGCTGATTTTATAACTTCATCCAAGTTTTCTAATTGTAAACTGCTATTATGCAGCTGTTGGACCTGTTTCAATTTTCCTCCTTTTAGAACTCCTTTCAAGATTATAATAAATATCAACAATGTGTTCATCCACATTTATTGGTAAAGAAGCTACTCCTTTTTCAGCTGCTAAATTTAAGAGGTGACAGGTGCACATCATAATCTGCAAATCTGAATTTTTCTTTCTGAAGATGCCTGCAACGCCAGTCTTCAAGCCTACCAATACTGGTGCATTATCGGCACCTAGTGCTAAGCAATTATCCAGAGGGACTGCATTTTCTTTTAAAGTTTTAATAATTAGCTGTGCTGCTATATTAAAGCCTGTCAAATGTCCTTCCAAAGTGGGGACAGAAAGTAAACTGCACTCAATTTCTGAAGACTCTGGATTAAAAAAAGAAACAACAATTGGATACAGTTTTGAATCGGTATTATTGCTTCCATCTGTAGAGAGGCACAACGGAGCCGTTTTAATGCGATCAATAACTGAAGATTTATTTTTCAAATCCATTTCTTTAACAATTGCACCTCTTTTGGTTCTTGCACTTAAGTATTTCTTAGCGATTTCACTATCAGGAAACATTTTTCTAAATAAAGCTGCAGTGTGATCCGATGCATTCAGTGGCAGGTTGTGCTCCAGTAAAAAGGCAGAGAACAGACACTCTGCATTAATAACTTTTTGGTTCTTTGTTTCCGAAGAAAAATCTAATTTTTTTTTTTTTTTTTTTTTTTTTTTTTTTTTTTTTTTTTTTTTTTTTTCAAACAACTCTCATGTTGCCCTGTGTTTTTTTGTGTACGCACATGTTTGAGACCATCCGCCCTTCCACCATGCGAAATCGAAAAATCGCAACGACAGGCATACACATCGCAAATTTATTACATTTCCTTGAGGAAATAATGGAAGGAAAGTCAACTGTGTACGATTTTTGAAACATAAACGAGTATTTCACCTTTCTCACAGACATAACAAAAGATGATAATTTCTAAAACTATTTCCCGAAGGCACGTGTACTCACACAACTCAGGACAAAATGACCGAAATAACTAAAGAACATCCAAATAACAGCTTGTTTTGTCCTCATTGGCTAATACATGCCAGATGACACGCAGTGGAGCACAATGCCCATTGGAGAACTGGAATGATGTTTCTGGATACGTATATGCTCTCACTCACAAAGCATCTAAGTTATCTAATTCGCAAGGTTTTGTTTTAGATATAATCTAGAGAAAAATTCATTTGCTTCCAGACGTCCAAAATCACTTTTTTTTTTTGTTCATATAACAAAAGTATTAAGCCAAGTTCCATAAAAATCGTGAGAAAATTTAAGAATAAGAAAAAGTCGGGAGAAATATATTGTAAATCGGGTTGGCGGGAGAGCGGTCGAAAATCGGGAGTCTCCCGCCTAAATCGGGACAGTTGGCAAGTCTGTATACATATCTGTGTGTGTGTGATATTTTCCAGCAGTCGTGAGGAAGCTTGGCATCAAAGTTCAGGTGTTGCTTTTGCAGAATGGTAAGGCAAAATTCAAATGACGAGACAAGATGATTTAGCTTTTAATTACTCATCTTTATTCCATACTTTAATTCAATTTTCACCATAGATCATGCTTTACTTCATATGAAATTCTCCAAATCGCATATTCAATAGTAGTTTAAATTAAGTACGGCTGAGTTTAAACCTTATGCGTCATCTCTATTTCTAACAAAGAAAAGATAGATTAAGCAGCAGTGAGATGTATAGCACAGGAGAAGAGGGGAACTTCTGTTAGCAAAATGGCGCACATTCGTTATTTATACCAGCGGTTACAGAATAAGCGCGAATACTCTAGAAAGTACTGGTCTAGGGGGAAGATCCTAAATTGCAGAAAGTTAAAGTTTGCTGGTTCGCAAAGAGGAAAGCCGTCCTATTTTTTATATTTTACATATATATGTGTGTGTGTGTAATATATTCAGAAGCAGAAATTTGGATGCAAAGGCATATTTAATCTTCAGTTTTATTTTCAGCAACATGTCGGCATATTAAATGCGACTGTTCCAAAACGCTTACATTTTTAATGACATTGTAGCAAGAACAGACAGACAGCAGTGTAGATGGCCAAAGCGTGGAAAGCAAGTGTGCAATGTTCAGGATGAAATCTTCAGTCAGTCTGAGTTAGTTTTGGTTTTCAAAGCATTTTGATTGGACAGTTAATATTGCTGTAAAATTATTATTGGCTGCTTGAGTTTTAGTTCAATTTTGCTTTAGTTCTGTCAACTCAAAGAGTGAAATACTATTATCTTTTTATAGGAACTTGCAACTAAAAGAATATCTGTGAAAATAAAAATGGAATATTTTGCTTAAGTCTATAAGCAGCTATTGACCTTTAACAAAGCTCAGATTGCATAAATTTATCAGTGTTAGAGGAAAAAACTTAAGGATGTTGGGGTTATTAATTTTTGAATTTAATAGTTACAAATACTTTGTTTCCTTACGCACCACCTAGTTTTCTCTTGCGTACCACCGGTTGAGAATCTTTGTTCTGTGTGACTCTCTTGATAATATGGACAAAATATAAGTGGTAGTCCATTTTATGCCATACATTCTGAAGCATAGCTGAAGTCACCAATGCAAGTGCATTAGAAATGCTTATTTTGAATTCTGGAATTGTTTTTGGCAATTTCTTTCTAGAGAGTTCTGTGATAGACCTTGTGTACGTGTTTCCTAGCTAAAAAAATTCCAGAACTCAAAATATGCATTGAAAAGTGAAATTAACAGAATTTCTAAATGGAAGAAAATTTATATATTTCACAATAGCACAAATTGTGTTGTTTTTATAATAATAGTATGAGTTGAGATACTGAAAAGATTTAAGGCTTTACAGACAAACTCTACCCCTCTTCCCGTATTTGTGATCTCATTCACATTTACATAATGGACAATTTTTACTGTCATGTACGAAGAGCTGTACACTATGTCCAGAAAAGGTACGCACTTATTTTTGCAATCATTAGACATAGACATGTTCTTCTAATTCAATTTTTTTTTAAATTACATAATATGTTATTGTATTTTTAAACTAAAAAAATGAGGTTAGTAAATTTATGAAATGATTTTTTTCTAGCCCCTGGACCCTATCATTATATTTAGTAAATGTTTAGATTCATTTAAAAAAATTAAACACAAAAAGCTTGACATCTGTAAAACAAAAATTGACAAGTTTTATTTTAATTTAAAAAGTTTTGGACTTCAAGACTTTTCAATGCCAAAAACTAGTTTTTATCACTTTTCTTGAGGGGTCGGTTAAAAACTAAACTAGCATAATTTGAGGTTGATTTTTTCTTACTACTTTATGTCATTCAGAGATATTCTTTTGTCATTTACTAGATTTTTTAATTTATAAATTTTTTTATATTAGGTATGCTAAAAGCATTCTCACATAAGTAACTAAAAGTTTTCAAATGTTAGAAAAAAATTTACTATTCACATGCACTTAAATTACTTTAGGATCCAAATATAACTGTCATACAAAATATTTATAGGATTAGAAATATTTTCCATTTTCAATTTATGCAATTAATATTATGATAGTATTGGCTATTGCTAATACTTGCACAGCCTGCCACTGTTTTCTAGAACTCTAATTCTATAAAATTCTGTGAATTAAATCTTCTTTCTTGAAAATATTTTGCATTGATTAAAACTTCTTATGATATGATAATCTGCATATCAATACTCATCACTTAATCTGTTAGCATAAGAAACCTTTTTCTAAACTGATATTTCATTTTTAGTTCAATAAAAATGTAACTGTTTTGCTAGTCAACTTGTGCATGATCTCTGAATTTTCAGGAAGCATTTCTTTTTTTAATCCTATGCCAGACCTAAGCATGACCACCATTAGTCTATGATGCGCAGCCCAATACAATTTAGAAACATTAAAAGAGTACAAGAATTTTTGACAGCATTAGCAGTTGCCATGTCATTAAGTCCAGAACAAGTGTCCAGATGGTCACTGCACATGTCCTCAGTATCACATATTGGGCAAGATGGAGAGTCTACTAAACCAAAATCTGTGTAAATGTTTCATGAGGCAGTCATGTCCAATTTTAAATCTAAAGTCAGTAACACTAATAGGTCTAGATAGGTCACAAGGTATGGGATTCTCCATTAGAGAAACCCAAATCTTCCCCTTCACCGAGTCTCCATTCTTGTCTTGAAGATGAGCTCCACATCTAGTTTCGATGGATTCTCTTAGCACTGCGATAGCAAACAGGAGGATTGGGTTGAGAAGAGACAGATCCAGCCTTGGCCAGAGTGTCAGCAAACTCATTACCCATAATTCCACAATAACTTGGAATCCACTGCAGAGTAACATTGCAACCATTATTTATTAGAGAATTTATCACAAGCCGACAATTTACAGCAGACCCATTGTTTGAAAGTAAGACTGAAGAAATTGTTTTAATAGTGGCCTGTGAATCAATAAATAGCACAACGACAATATCAAACATCTCTTTTACTGATTTCAGTCAAGGCCAGTTGGACAGCAGCCACTACAGCATCATAGTTGGCACATTTGCACCAACAGCCCCACTAAAGCTACGGTGCCAAGAGTAAACCCTAATACTAACCTTACCATTGCACCAATACAGAACCATCAGTATACACATGCAACCAGTGTGTTATTGGAAATCTTTCTCCAATAAAGGCCAAAGCAGCCACCCTTAATTCTATCTCAATGTAAGGTTTTTTAAAGGCCAGCAGAACCAAGTCTAAATTATAATTTGCCCAGTTCAAATGTCTTAGGAACACAACAATCTCAAGTAGTGGCTGTCTGTTAAACATAGAGATTTAAAAAAAAAAAAAAAACAGACAGTTCCTTTATCACATGTGAAAAGGTAAGTTGGGATTTTAACCTACAGTCTGCAGAATACTACATCTTCCAGAAATCACCACACCTCATCAATTTCTTGACCTACTTGACAGCACTTATTTTCTTTTGATGAGTCAGAGGCTGAATATTAGTTTGTAGCTGGAGTAGAAAATGCTACACTGATGATGATTATCAGGGCATTATTTTGAGTATTTCAACCCCATTCTGTACTGACTCAGAAGCAGTTATGAGAAATTCACCCCCATATTCGATTTTTAAAAAACATGATCTCAAACTTTGAAATTAAATATCATGGCCAATTTGTGTGGTATAGAAGTTTATTTTTTTAATATAAGCATAGTTTTTACTAAATATTTACAGGAGAATGAAACCATACAAAAAATAATATTTCATAATTTTTACAAAAATAATTTTTTTGGTTCTAAAACTGCCCAAAATCAATATTTCTCTTACTTAAACATATTTGTAACTGGTAGTATATGTCTACAATCAGCTGAAAAAAATAAAGGTACCTTAAGGTAAGGTAGTAAGAGCTTATGGACATGCTGTATAAATAATGACAAGATAAATCATCTGGCATGAAAATTTGGTGCCCTTTGGTGGTGGTGCTATTCATGGAAAAATACAAGTATCTAAAATGCTTCTTCAGTTGATAAGTTAGATTTCTTTAAAACTTTAGCCACTCATCAAAATCCATCAACTTTAATTGCAGGTTTTATTTACAAAGCAGTTTTTAAAATGTTAGCAAATATATGATGAACTTTGTTCAGGATGAACATTCATGGTTCTAGATTATTTTGGTCTTTTGTGGCTTGGTTTATTTAATTACGGCAAAGCACACTAGGGCATCTGCCTAAGGGGAGGGATGCCTTCGTGGAGGACTTTCTAAGGGAAATTGGTTCTTATACACGTTACACATGGAGAAAACCACGAAAACGCCCATGCAGACAGCCCGTTCGCGGGATTCGAACCTCGGACTGAACTACCAGTGTTCAGCGACTTTACCGCTCGGCCGCTCGTGGGCGGTCTTTTGTGGAGATGGTCACCTTAGAGAGGCAATGTTCAATACTGGTATATATCCCCAAAAATGTTGGTTACTTTCAGAGGTGGTTAGCATGAATGTGTTCAGCAGATGATAAATTAGAGAACAAATGAATTTTAATCATTTTTTCTCTAATTTTCAATGCAGGTAATTAAAACTTTTATTTTTTGTATTATTTACTTTTTTTATTTTATCTATTTAAATGATGTGTTTCTAACAAAATATCTGTAAATATTTTAGCTCCTTGAACAAGAGAAGAATGTGTGTCAGCTTTCAGTGAGTGCAAAAGAACTTTCTGTTAATCTAATTGATCTAATACCAATCTAAGGTTGGTTTTTACTTCATTTTAAAATTCAAACTGGTGTTGTTGTCTTCCTTGTATTATTCAATATTAATATAATACACAATTCATATATTGTCATAACGTTAACAGATTTATCGCATTTTTCATGTCTTTGAGTGGTCATGGGAAAAAAATTGCTATTATGCAAATTTTATCTCCTCATTATTCAATTTTCATTACTTTTATAAAAGAAATAGCACAGGAAAGAAAATGATAATACAGCTTTACTATTTAATAAAAGTTAATTACCTAAATTACAAAATAGTGTGTGTTTAAAAATCAAAATTGTACATACCCAGTAGCTAAAAATTGGTCATTAGGTGAAAGTGCCAGTGATGTGCCAGTAATACAACCTTCATCATTAAATTTATATATACATTTTCTGGAAGACATATCCCAAACATAAACTTCGCCAGCATCTGCAATTCATCCAAACAAATAATTATTGCATTCAATAAAAATAGAGATTTGTAAAAATTTCTCTTTCTTTTCATTTTGTTCACTTTCTTAAAGAAATGTCTACAAAATACACATAAATGATTATATATTAAATGCACATAAAGATTCTTAGGAGAAATATGTATCAGTTCACATTCAGAGGGGATGCTTATATATAAAGAAAATTACATTACAAATAATGATAATGTGCTTAAATGAAATATTTATAAACATGATAAAATATTACACAAATGCATAGGTCTTATGACAGCCATGTGACTTATTTGCCACTAAAATTGCAAAAGTGATCAGAACAAGTTACCTTGAATGGACACTCTAGATGTAATTCATATCATTTACTAGGGCATTTACTTAACACCCCCCTCCCCAATTACTGGATTTTCCATGCAAGATTTCTGAGGCACTAATTTTTAAATTACTTTGGTCACTCTACAGCATTTGCCAGATCGAAACATAACACACTAATCCCACTATCCAAGTCACTTGAAAGTGAAAGTACAACTACCCAAACTTTTAAGTGAGGATAAAGCAGCTTTAAAAAATATTGGGAAAGATACATTGTACTGCAGGGATGTAGGAATTTAATTTCTTCAACAATTCCGCTCATATGGGTTATATTCAAAGCCCTAATAATTCATGATAGTTCATCCAATTTATTTCAATGATACCATGAGCGAGAACAACTTTTAGTCAAGAAAAATATTCCAGAGACTCAGTGGTATAAATAGAAAATGTTGTAGTATAAAACATCGTGGAAGAAAAGAAAGCAAAGAGAAAACATTGCAGTTCTAAAAAATTGTGGTACAAAATATCGTCATCGAAAATAATGCAGTTAAAAAAACTTTGCAGCTTAAAATAATCATTATCAAAATTAAAGCTCCCACAAATCTTCGCATGACAATAACATCACAGACATATTTTTTCAGACTTTAACCCGTTCCGTACGGGCATGTCATATGTGCATCAGCAGTGAACATTACCTCAGGGCCGAGTGTGTCATATTTGAATCGGCATTTAATTCACTTTACCGGCCGGGCGTACAACATTTGACTTTTTAGATAGAACGTTTAATTAATATTTCTTGTTGCCGCTAGATGTAGCTGTATGCCTGTTATGGGGAAATATATCGAAAGTATGTTTACCTTCATTCCTATGCAATGATTTTTATTTTTGGTATTTTGTTTCAGAATGAGAGCGAGATTCGTGGGTGAGTGTTGAGCAATGTAATGTCTCTTTAACTGCGTCTAAACAAATGCACATGCTCTCGCTGCATTGAGGTACTTTTTATTTTTATTTTTGTGATATAGTGGGATAGATGTTATATCATTAGAGATTTTTTTTAATACTCTTATATTTTTCCTTACTCGTAGATTTTTACTTTTTTTTTCTTTTATGATTACTTTCAGATTTTTCCGGCTTTGAGATGAATATTTTGTAATCGGTCAGTGGAATGAAATGTATATTTTTTTAATGGCAAACAAAAGCAGTACCTAAACGTAGAATATACACAATCGCTAATTCGTTAGTGTTGAGTAACGTAATGGCTCTTACTACGTCATTTTATATAAACAAATGAACATGTTTTCCAATGCTCTGGAATACTACTTTTAATTTATTAATTTTTCTTATTTTTATTTTATTTTTTTATCGGTTATACTGGAGTAGATGTTCTATCATTAGAGACTTTTTTATTACTCTTTGAGTTGTCCGGCAATGAGACGAATATTTTGTATCGCTTAGCGAGTTTTTTTTTTTTTTTAATGGCAAAATGAAAGCACTATCTGAATGTAGAACATATGCAAATGCTAAATGAGTCAAGTTTGCTGAGTAAAATATCAGCAAATATTATATTCCTGTGACTAATGCAACGTTGGACTTTGCATACACCCATGTTCCAAAAATATCATACACTGTCTCATTTTGAAACATTGCTTACTTTTCGTTATTTGCTCGTTGGACAGTGACAAGACAAGTTTTAATATTTCTATATATGAAAGACAGTTTTAATATTTTTTAATTTTAATTGTGTGTTGTGTTCAATAAAATCTGCGATTATTTGGATATTTTTCCATATATATTTATTTATGGGATAAAGGGAAAATTATATTATTCTACAATAAGTATTTTATCAAATTTGTAAGGAAAATATAATAATAAAGGCTTAGAATTAACGACTACCTGAATGTACCCAAAATTGGATGACAAATTTCATTTATACGAATTTTTTTCCAAAGTTAGGCTTAGCAGCGTAAATTGCCCGTCTTCACAGGATGACATATCCGGTTAACGCGCCGTCCCAAGAGAACGCTTCGGTAACAGAGGTGCCTGTCACGAACGGGTTAAAAGTCGTAAATGCATATTCGCATCATGATTTGTGAGTGCAAGAAGGAAAGAGGAATATATTTCTTTTTATAATTCATAATTTTGAATTAACTAATATATTTTTGCTAAAAAAGTGATAAGGAAACCTCAGCATTTAGAAACTGAAAATGAGTAGAAAAATAATGTAACTTATAGCGCCTAACAGCAGTTTTAATCTTACATAGTTAACTAATAAAGGTCATAAATATATTAATCAATTTTATAAAGTTTCAATGATAATTTTTCATGAAAAATATATCCTAAAAAAGTTTAGAAAAAGGAAGATCTGTAACTGCATGTGATTACCTCTGTAAAAATGATTTCATTTTTTCAAATTATTTTCTTTCACGTTTATTAATCCGATATTCTTTTAGTGAAAATTTTATGTTTTGGTTCTGTTTATTCTTCAAGTGCAGTTAACATTTTCATGCATGGCATGCTGTTAATTATTTGGACATCAATTTGTTAGTTATGATGACAGTCAGCTATGTAATATTTCAGCAGAGGTTTTGAATTTATTGAATTTTACAAAAGCATACTAGGACTATCTGCTTAATGGAAGGAAAGCCTTGATGGAGTACTTTCTCAGGAACTGGTTCATATCCATGTTAAACATTAAAAAAAATCTCAAGAATTAACATGCAACCAGCTTGTTCACTATGTGAAAATATCAGTGTTCAGCAATTCTGGCTCGGGCACTGGTGCCAGTTCAGCAGGGGAATATTAATGGAAGCTAGTTCTTTTTATGTCAGAGACTGCTGGGGAGAAATTTTCGCAGACAGGTAAGGATGGCGAAAGTGTTAATCAACGTCAGATGACCACATCTACAAAAGATTGAAAGGCTATGGCATCTTGAGTGGTAACTTTAAACACGATTTTTTATATTTAACTTTACCTTTAGAGATTTCTTATAAGCACTCTAAAAGTGTTTTTTAATTTTGAGGATATATTTTATTCAAAAATTTTTTAGTTATTGATTGAACTTTTATAACATTCAGTGAAACATTTCCTTAAGACAAACACCTTTGTAAGTTATCAGTATAGTTTTGAAATTTTGGCATTTAATCTCATCTTTCTAAGATGAACAGCTTCATAGAAAAAAAAAAAAAAAATCACTTTGAATGGTAAACGGTGTCTAAAGCGGTAAGCAGTATCTTTGAACGATGTCTAAAGCGGTGAAAGTAATGATTGCGTGGTATTGGCTGGTGTTGTTTGAGTAAAACATTTTTTTTATTTTTTTATTCTGTGTCATCCTTTTTCGTTTACTTTTTGTAGTAGGTTCCAGGAATAAAGAAAGATATAACGGATGTTCCAAACCCATTTATCTTTTTTGAATTATTTTTTGATGAACTGCTCGTGCTTCATATTGTCACTAAAACTAACAGTTTTGTAGAAGAGTATATGAACCAACACCTTGCAAACAAAAAATCAAGAACAAAATCATGGCATTCAACCAGTTCAGAAGAAATATATGTTTTTTTAGGCATACTGATTTCACAAGGTATAACACTGAAACCTGATATTACACTTTACTGGTCTAAAAATTAATTGATCGAAACTCCATTTTAGGGATCTTTTTTATTATAAAAACATCATTTTTATTATACTTTTACTCAAAACATTACATTTTGTGCATTCATTTTTTTCTTTTATTCTTTATTTTGTGAAAGTAAACAGTTTTTAGAAAGTAAAACCTGCACTTATTTTCTCCCTAATACATCGCATAACTATGCACGGCTGTGTGAAAACCGTAGCACTGGGAAATGAATCTTGTACGTTTTCCACCGCAATTAAGGGGTTAAGTCGGTAAGGGTGTGGCTGTATATATATAGTAGACTTGTACGGTAGATTCTATTGTACAGCATATGTAATTTATACATGTATACACATACATTGTACAATGTAGGGGATACGTTCTACATAATAGGAAATCATGCTATATGGGATATACATTATCAAACCAATCTTGTATGCCTCATTCGCTTCACATACGGTGTAACATAGCTCTCTCACCGTACGTCGTGCTACTGCTGGACAAAATATTGGTGGACAAGGTTTTGTTTAGATGAATGAGGCAGATATCACCGAATCAATTAATTACAATAAAGATACTAATGAAATCGAATTAATAGAATTAGCAACTTGTTCTCATTCTGGTAATGAGGAAGAAAACTCAGTCACGACTTTTAATGCACCAAAGCAACCTCTGAATTTAGAAGATATAAATAAAAGGTTATAAAGAGCCAAAACAGTAGAAACACATTTCAAGAAAATTGATCTATCAACAGAGTGGTTTATGAAATTTAAAAGAAAATCGAACGATTGTGCATCCTTATATTTTCAATCTGAAAATTATCTTTAAATAGCAATAACTATGAAGATGAAACTAAGGACTATTAAAGCAATGAATCTGTACAACCAACATTAACAAGACAAGGTTGTTGAAACTTATTTGTTGCTACTTCCAATAGTGAATAAATATTAAATAGTGAATTGCATATTTTCCTTTTCATTAAAAGCTGAATACTAAAATTATTTTAATCTTATATCTTTAAATAAGTATCTGTTGCTTAATGTTTGTTTCTGGTTTTTCCTCATGCAAATTAGATTGCAGGTCAACCGGCAGTAAAGTAACATGGTTGATGCAGATTGGCCAATGATATAGTATCGACAGACTGGCTGATCATGATATGCCAGAATTGGTAAACACTAGCTGGCGTTCCCCTTGGTTTTAATTTAAAAGCTACTCACTGTTGCAAACTAGCTGTTTTAATTCAAGTTACGGAATAAATATTATTTTTATTTTAGATTAATTCTGATTTTTATTTAAGTAAGGTAAAGTATGCTTTTGCTACAACTCCAATGACAACAGTATGAACTCTTGTATAACATGCTCCCGTATTTTAAACTGCTACTCTTTTTTAACTGTCAAATTTGCTGTTTATATAGCATAAACTACAGGTAAACATATACAGTACAAAGTCTTTAATCCGGACTCGTCGGGACTTCGGCGATTCCAGATTAGAGGTTTTTCTGGATTATAGATCATCAATTTAAATCTGGTAAGATGGCATGCAGAAATTATACAATTAAAAAAAAATGAAACCGTAATTTATGAAATAAAGAGCAATTATGATCTAAAGGGTATCAAAATTTACAAAAAATAAAGCTTAATATTTATTTGTTTCTTTTATTAAACATTTCTTTCAATGTAAGTTGTTTAAGTTGCTTTGTTTTTTGTGCTGATACTTTCTCTTTAATTCTATAAACAGACATAATTTCTTGTTCAGTTCCACTGTTCAAGTCCTGTAATTGCTGTGTCGAGAATATCGACTAACTTGTCAATTGAAATTTTTTCGTTTTCAATAACCTCTCTGTCACTTTCTTCACTACTGGAAGCGGTTCATCAAAACATGCTTTCGCTTTGTAGATCCTTTGGTAGCTCCAGAATGGGAAACTCCTTTTGACGTAATCGAAAGTTCAAGCTTACTTTTTATAAAATTGCTCTAACAGTCTGCAAAAAATAATAAGCCAGATCCAATTTGAAGATTATGTAACAACGCAATCTGCATCATTAACTGAAATAGATAATTCAATAATTTCAGCCTAGCTTATACCGTCCGTTATACATTAAATGCGCATGCGTAAACGTATTATGTGCATGCGTAAATGCATAATGCATTTAAGAATGCACATATGCATTTCTCATGCATGCATGCGCAGAAAGCTTGAAGCTTTGAGGTGCGGATTATAGATCATTCCGGATTAAAGACTTTGTACCAGTACAAAGTTTGTAATCCGGACTCGTCGGAACTTCGGCGATTCCGGATTAGGGGTTTTTCTGGATTATAGATCATCAATTTAAATCTGGTAAGATGGCATGCAGAAATTATACAATTAAAAATATGAAACCATAATTTATGAAATAAAGAGCAATTATGTTCTAAAGGGTATCAAAATTTATGAAAGCTTAATATTTCTTTGTTTACTTTATTAAACATTTCTTTCAATGTAAGTTGTTTAAGTTGCTTCGTTTTTTGTGCTAATACTTTCTCTTTAATTCTATAAACAGACATAATTTCTTGTTCAGTTACAAAGTTCAACTGTTCAAGTCCTGTGATTGCTGTGTCGAGAATACCAACTAACTTGTCAATCAAAATTTTTTTTTGTTTTCAATAACTTCTCTGTCACTTTCTTCACTATCGGAAGTGCGCATGTGTAAACGCTTTACTGGCTTTATGCGCATGCGTAAGTTTGTGGCTTTGAGGTCCAGGTTATAGATCATTCCGGATAAAGGATGTCCGGATTATAGATCATTCTGAATAATGGACGTCCAGATTACGCACTTTATACTGTACAGAGTTACTGGTTGCAACTGTTGTGGTGATTTCTTCCTTTAAATGAACAAGTTTGTGAGCCTACATATTATAAATATCATACTTTCACTTGAGCCTAAAGAAGAAATCTAATGGGATGAGATTTGGGTTTTGTGGACGAAAGGAGCAATGTAATTTCAACTAATCCATTGTTCTAAAAAATTAAGTATAACACATCATGCACAACTATAGAAAAATACAATTCTGCTCCAGAATTCAATCTTTCCCACTGTGTGTGGCCATACTTGTGGTGCTGACACTGATACTAAACATCGGTATAATCTGTTTGAAGAAGATACATTCCTATTCTTGAAATTTAGAAAGCCAAATCTTTCTAGTATATCTAAATACCTACTGCCATTAATACTAGAATGAAATTTACCATTAATTTCCAACCAATTCAATTACAGCCTTGCCTTTCTTTCTTCAAAACTTGTAGTAGTTCTAGGAAATATGCATGGTAATTACAATGTGCACACTTTATTGCACCACTAAGAACTTACAGTCCCTTACTAAATACTCTAACATACAAGTATTTCTATATCAGTTATTATCAGCACTTGAACATACTGATGTTCATTGCTGAATGTAATATTATATCATTCTAATCCTTTTAAAGCTGTTTTGTTTTAAATTTTTTAATTATTAAAATGTTAATATTCTAAACATGAAATTCTTTACAAATACAGGTATTATAATAAAACACATGCTATATATCAGATATCATATAAAAATAATATTATAACATATACAAATATCCACAATACATTTATTTAGAGATGTGAATACTTACCACCATGAGAATATAACTTGGAGCCATCCTTATTAAATGTAACAGCAATAACTTCTCCATTCATTTTTAAACTTCCAACCCATTCTTTCGTCTAAAAAGTATATACACAAATGTAACCTCAATGAATTAAAAAAACGTACTATCTAATTACTTTTTTATAGCCTCATACATAGGTAAAAACCTAAAAAGATATATAGATGACTTTAATTAATTACTTAATACATGGAAAATATTTGAATTGCAAAATTCAAGTTTTTATATACATCTGAGAGGTAAATCCTTCTCTATTAGAGTATTCTTGTATGTAAGAGAGCTACATATTATTAATTCACAGGTAATACAGCATCAGCTATTTTATTCACTTTTTAAACTTGAATATGGTAAAAAATAGTATCTCACCTTTCCAAAGATGAATAGCATTATGTTTACATTATTAACACAAAATAATAAATTTTCAAAAATTAACATATTTTATTTCTGTCCAGGAACGTATTTCAGAGATACTTTTCTTACTTTGTAATATAAAGGAAACCAAATTAATTTCTCTAAAATCCTAATTATTTGATTAGAAATGACTGATAATTTAATAATCATATATAAACAAAATGGTAGAATCATTGAAAAAAATCTCTGATAATTACTGCCTATTATGAATCAATTGTAATAATGATGACAGAAATGTATTAATAAAATCCTAGTTTGCTACATGATATAATAACAAAAGCTATTTACAATCATTAGAAAACTTTAAAAGAGAAAGAAATTTTACTTTTGCAGTCACTAAATGAATATTTCCATATCGTCCATGAACAACAATATATTTTCCATCAGGCGACATATGAAATCTGCGAATATTCTTTTGTTCCATTCCTATCAAGAATAATATAAAAGTATTTTATTCTAAGCACAGCAAAAATGTCTGCTTTCAAAAAAATTGATTAAAACTAACTTTTCAATTTAAAATCAAGCATAAATAAATAAAAAAATTGAAAAAATTAAAACAAATGTAAAAAGAATCAGATTTCCAGTCAAAATAATTAATTTTGTAATTTTAAATCAATAAAAAAATTCAGAAACTAACCAGGCAAATTAGGTTTAGACAATTAGTAAGATAAATTAAACTAAACAATCAAAAAAAGATACCCAAAACATATTTAAGCCCCCCAAAAAGATAACATTAAATTTACAGAACCTACACAAGATTTACATTAGGAAATAACAAAAAAAAACTTAAATAGTCATGCTCATCATAAAGCAAAATAACAGAAACATTACAAACCTTTTTCCATCGGTATCCTTATGATTTTTCCAGAAACCATATCATAACCAAAATAATGACCAAATTTATTTGACCCTACAACAATTTCATTTCCATCAACAGTAAAATGTGCAGTGTGAACTGGAAACTTCTCAAAATGTACAGACTGTATTTTAGCGTTAATCTTCCCATCTATCTATATAATCAAAAACAAAACAATCATAAATATTGTAAACAAAACATTTTAAAATTAAGTAAGTGCTATAAAAACATTTTACTAAATAGAAAGTACCATACAAGTACAAAGTGCCAATATGAGATCAGCCTACAAATAAAAAGGTTTGAAGGTAGTTTAGAAAATAAGATGATGCATATATGATGGCCTCACATACGAGGCTCGCTAAGAAGGCAGGAGAAATAACTTATAAGTTATTGATAATTCTACAACTATTGCATGCAGATTAACTAACGGTATAAAAACCTTAACCAGAAGATAAGAACAATATAATTCAATAACTTTTAAAGCAAAAAATGCACAATTTACTAAATATACGAATAAAAAACTCAGCTTACTGAGCCGAGTATTAGTGTGCATATATATATATATATATATATATATATTTATATACTTTTGGTGCGGCCGATCGCAACCAAAAAGGGAAGTACACAACTACACATTAACCAAAAAGGGAAGTATCCTATATACAAAATTTTGACATTATGAGGCTACTCGCATTTGATTATGCCAGACTTGTACTTACGTACAGATGCTACAAAAAGAACTCTTCTGAATCCATTTTAAATCAGTTTTATAATTTGTTTGGGAAAAAGAGTCCTTTATTCTGTCTTTACGCACAGATGTCATGCAAAAACCTCATTAAATTCCGGAATATCGGTTTTTCTGGATTATAGATCATCAGTTTAAATCTGGTAAGATGGCATGCAGAAATTATAAAATAAAAAATATGAAACCATAATTTATGAAATAAAGAGCAATTATGTTCCAAAGGGTATCAAAATTTATGAAAAAAAAGCTTAATATTTCTTTGTTTACTTTATTAAACACTAGCTGTACCCGCCCGGCGTTGCCCGTGCATTTAAAAATTGCAGATAAGTGAATAGCGCAGGAATAGTAGTGTAGGACATGTAGACTGTCTCTCTCTCTCTTCCCCCTCCCCACAAGCTACAAAAAAGAAATGAATTGTAATTAATCGATTTTAATGTATCGTCAAAACAGCAAACTAACGCTAGAATAAAGAAATCAATTGTTACAATCGAACGTTATTTGAAAACAAATAATAATCAGTGAGTCAAAAAAAAAAACCGTGATTAATTAATTATAAATAATTTTTTTTAAAATTTTTCTAATTCAAAAAATCGAAAATCGGGCTTCGAGGTCCTGGTGGCCAGCCCCTTTTGTGCTTCCGTATAAAAAATTCCAGGTCCCTGCGTGCGATAGATTTGGCTGGAGAGCTCAGTCAGACAGACAGACGACAGACATATATTTAATTATAAATAATTTTTTTTAAATTTTTCTAATTCAAAAATCGAAAATCGGGCTTCGAGGTCTGGTGGCCAGCCCCTTTGTGCTTCCGTATAAAAAATTCCAGGTCCCTGCGTGCGATAGATTTGGCTGGAGAGCTCGGTCAGACAGACAGACAGACACATTACACTTGCTTTTATTATTATAGATTTCTTTCAATGTAAGTTGTTTAAGTTGCTTCGTTTTTTGTGCTAATACTTTCTCTTTAATTCTATAAACAGATATAATTTCTAGTTCAGATACAAAGTTCAACTGTTCAAGTCCTCTGATTGCTGTGTCGAGAATACCGACTAACTTGTCAATCAAAATTTTTTTGTTTTCAATAACTTCTCTGTCACTTTCTTCACTATCGGAAGTGCGCATGTGTAAACGCTTTACTGGCTTTATGCGCATGCGTAGCAGACACGCGTCAAACGCGCATGTGTAAGTTTGTGGCTTTGAGGTCCAGGTTATAGATAATTCCGGATAATGGATGTCCGGATTATAGATCATTCCGAATAATGAACGTCCGGATTACGCACTTTATACTGTACAGAGTTACTGGTTGCAACTGTTGTGATGATTTCTTCCTTTAAATGAACAAGTTTATGAGTAATTTATGAAATAAAGAGCAATTATGATCTAAAGGGTATCAAAATTTACAAAAAATAAAAAGCTTAATATTTATTTCTTTACTTTATTAAACATTTCTTTCAATGCGCGCATGTGTAAAGCATACATTACGCATAGTCGAAATTAGAAAATTGCAACCAGAAAACTATTTAATGTGTATTCTTGATATTTATAATGACGAGGAATTTGATTTAAATCATATCAAAGACGGAGTACATCGAGATGAAATACTACATTTAGTAAAGAATTATAAGCTGAATAAAATAAAAACATCTGCCCTGAAGATAAGGATAGTGCTGACAGATCAACTTCCAGTTCATTGCGTGCCGCATCCCCCCCCCCTGCAGAGCAGCGTGAAATTGATAAACATATTTCGGAATGGTTAGAGAAACAAAGGATATGCCTTTATCCATTTTTTGCAGCAATTCCACTTTTTGTTGAAGGACATCGAAACATGCTTTCGCTTTGTAGATCCTTTGGGAGCTCCAGAATCGGAAATTCTTTTTGACATAATCGAAAGTTCAAGCTTACTTTTATAAAATTGCTCTAACAGTCTGCAAAAATAAGATGGATCCAATTAGAAGATTAAAGAACAACGCAATCTGCAACATTAACTGAAATAGATAATTAGATAATTTTAGCTCAGCTTATACCGTCCGCTATACATTAAACGTGCATGCGTAAACGCATATTGCGTTTATGCATGCGCATCATACCTGTATGCATGCACATATGTGTTTATGCATGCACGTTTAATGTATAACCTCAAAGCTATAAACTTTCTGTGCATGTGTAAATGCATAATGCGTTTATGCATGTGCATAATACCTGTATGCATGCACATATGCGTTTACGCATGCGCAGAAAGTTTATAGCTTTGAGGTCCGAATTATAGATCATTCCGGATTATTGACGTTCAGATTAGACTTTTGACTGTAATTGTTTTTATAATTTTAGAGCAGAAACTTTTTTTGGTTTTTCATACGTGAATACCATTTTTTTTATGTTCAACTATCCAGAATTTGGCATTTCCTGAACTTTCTAGTTAGTTGAGCTTTTACTGTAAACAGCAAAAATATGGTTAACTTTTAAATTAACAAGAATGATGCATTGACCCTAATAAGCAAGCTGAAGAAATCTAGCAATCTAGCACATAAGTATTTTTCCAATGGATAACCACAGACAAAAGAAAAATCATAAATGAATCCATTATGACGAGACAGAAAAATGTGCTGTTTATTGTTATAGGGTGGCAATTAATTGGCTGTACACTTTTGTACATTTCATGCCTTATTTGCATGCCCTTTTCTTAAAAGTAACCAGGAAAAAGTCTGCAGGAATTATATCCGACAATCGCAATGGTCAGTTAAAATTTTTAAAAGAAATAAGATAATTATACAATTACCAAAATTTTTCCTCGAAAGAAACATCATTTGCCACTGGAAATGGTGAACCAACTGATAAATTACTGAAGAACTAGATTCATTCCAAATGTTACAGAAGTTGCAGTATGTTATATATGCATAAAAATAAAAGTATTGATTTTCAATGGAAAATAGAAGTTGGTAATACAGGCTTTAGGGGGGATACAAGAAAAGTTATTTACTATGAAAATTATAAAGATAATTATGCATAACCCTGTCATAATATGGATCAAAGTAAAAATGATAAATTGGAAAGTTTTCAGTAGTAGATCTAATTCAGGTATCAGAACTGATGAAAACCTGGGAGATGAAGAAGAAAACAGGCAAAACTAGGTCTAAAAATAATAATTAAAATAATGTATTGCTTCTTCTTTAAATTCTGCATTATAAGGCAATATTTCTTTTAAGAAATATATTACTTAGGTGAATTAATTAACTTTCTTGAAAAAAAACCATCAGCTGATATTATGTGCAAAAAACTTCTTTCTGTAAAATACTTTTAAAAAATCTGATATTTCAGAAAATAAAATTAGATCATACACAGAAAAACACATTAACTCTTTCGCATTGAAGTCTCCGTAACGCCTGTTCATTCAGGCAACGGCAAACCGCTCCAACGCCTCGTTTATTTTCCACCTAGTGCTTTTCCCTTCCACGTTAGTGTATGGCTCATTGGTTTCGCGAGTTGTTAAGAGACATGTCAATCATTCTTTTGAAGCAACTAAAGGAGACATACGGAAAGCTATTAACATTCGCAGGTGCAATCCGAAGGTGAAACTGCACACAATGGATGAAACCGCTGAAAAACCCCAAGAGAGAAGCAGTCATTTCACTTAAGTAAGTTATTGTTAATGCTGTAGCTACTAGGCAGGGGGGGGGAAAGGAAAACCAATCCAAGACAAATTCGTAAACACGGGCGTTTTCGATGTTTGATGAAAACAGATCTGGTCGTCTCTCAATGTGAAAGAGTTAAGACGATAAAAATCAAACCCATACAATAATTTACAAGAAATTAATTTTAAAGCTAAGGATTAAAAAACTTAAATTGAAATCTTATGAAAGTCTACTAACAGCTGAGATGCAATAAATAAATAAATATTGCAGTTCCAGCCAAGATTAAAATTCCATTCCAAGTGTTTCTGATGTTGCCCCCCTCCCCCAATAACATGCAAACCAATTCCTTAAGAAAGTCTCGATAAAGATATTCCTTAGGCATATAATCTTCAAGAACTATACTAAAATTAAATAATTTGATTTAAATTCAAATGCTTCATTCTTCTCGCTAATACATACATCAGGTTTTAGTACAAATAGCATTTAATTTGTTTTTCACCTCCTGCAGTTTTCTCCCTCTTCTCTTTGATCATTCTTCTACAAATTTGCTTCACTTTGCCTCTTCCTATCTATGCCCCATGTCAGCATCGCACTTTGAACTTTTTTTAAACAACCATAATTTCTGTTTTTGCATATAACTTGGAAGCAGTATGTAGTCAAAAAGTATTCTTCTTCTACAAATCTGCTTCAGTTTATGTCTGCCTATCAATGGCCCATGTCAGCAGCACACTTTGACCACCAGCTGATATTATTTTCTACATTTATTTTCTTCTACCGTTTTTGTTTTTGTATATAATTTGGAAGCAGTAGGTAGTCAAAAAGTCTTCCCAATTAAACACAGATTTTTTTAAAAAATAATTTAACATATTTTCAGGGTTTTTGTTCAAATTCCAACTTCCTAATCAGCTTCCTATTTTGTAATCATACTTTGCAAAATAATTAGTCAAACAATCATCAAATTCTGCAAGCAATGCTTCTAAATTATTAATATATGCAATTATCCCTTTTTAGTACTTTAATGCATTTTAACTTGTCATAAAACTTGGCTTTTAATTAACTATATATTTTAATATTATTATCAGTAATTTTTCAGTTAGAAATTATCAATTTTCGACATCAAAATCAGCAGTATTTAAAATAGCAACTATACCTGAAAAAGATTCACAGTTCCATTTGTGGCACCTACTAAAGCCACTTTTGAAGTGGGATGGAATTCAACACTTTTCACAATAGCCTAAAAAGAAGAAACTATTAAAATGCTAATAAAAATGAAGAACAGAAAATAAACTTAATACCCTTAAAAGATAGTTTTTAAAAATGTCACTTTTTCCTAATATTTTGATGCATTTCATGCTTATTATATTTCATAACATATACAATTACTTAGCAAAAGAGATTCTAAAAATTTTGCAACATGTTTTGTGCAATGAAATTAAACTGATCAAAAACTGGACAAAAATGTGTATTTTATACCTATAAAAAGTATTTCTACCAATATATGTAAACGTAAAACAAAAGTAAACATAATAAATGTAAACATATAATTTTATAAGTATACAGTATGAAAAGTAAAAATTAACTTTCCCTCTCACCTCAAATTAATCAATTATTATTATTTTTTCATTGAATTAATAAAAATCAATAATTTATAATTGCAAATTTATGAAATGCATATAAAACATTTTCAAAATATAGTAATCAAAAATCTCCACATCTTGGGATTTGAGAGTGTATGACTTTCAAGCCATAAAATAAAAATTATTACAACTTAAAAAAAAAAAAAAAAAAGAATAAATTCAAAAGAACAGATAAAAGCAATTAATTTCTTGACTTTTTTTTATAGAACACTATACATTAAATATATTTTAATTTTGCATGAAAAAATAGGATAAAGAGAATACAGAAAAAAAAAAAAAAAGTTTGCACTTTTCTTTTCAGAAATCCATTTGCTTAAAAATTTTAAGTTGCTCAAGTTCCTCTCCTCTCAAATTATACACCAATTAATGTAAAAATTAACTTAAACTTTATTTCCTTACTGCTAGGGAGTTTACCTTAAAATAATGCAAAACAAAATTAAAGCCAACACAAAGCAGTAGCTTGTTGAAACTTACAGTATATTAAATGGGTTATACAACCAGTAAACCTATGCAAAGCTGGAATACTAACTGTTTGGACAGATAAACCTCATCTAATATTTAACAATATTAAAAGTACTAATATCAGGCATTCACATCTGTTCTATTCAGCAGCTTTTTTTCTATAAGCAAGCAACGTCAAAAACAACAGCCTATTACAAATAATGTCAGTTACAATTTACAGTTCTAATTTTAACCTATGCTACTTTCCATAAAATCTCTAACCCTATGGACTTAATGAGTGCAGGCCAAAATAACGTATGAAGGGGAAAAAATTCATATAAATTTAATTGTTAAGACAGCTTAAATGAAATGTCACACTCACACCTTCCACACACACATAAAAAAATGAATATATAAATCTCACTGCAACTTTACCATGAGTTTATTTAGAATTGCCTTTCTGAGATGACTAAAAAGTAACTATTTTTAATTCTAATCACAATAAAAATTTAAAATCGAGGTACTTTTCCAGTAACAAAGCAGCACTTATTGCCAAACATAAATGTTGTTCTGAAAAGAAATTAAAAAAATTAATGGTAACCTTACCAATACATTCAATACCATCATTGCACAAAAATATTGTTGTGGTTATTCGAAGAGTTTCCCTTTTCCTAACAGAATTTAAATGAATTGGCTACTGCCAAGCTATAACATCTACATCAGTTTCTTCATCAAAATCTCATATGAAAAATATTTCTAGCCCTCTCAATATTACAGATTGAAAATTATGTATAGAAGGGTGGCTTTCGTATTCATTACACATGAAAATTTCTGCCAACTTTTAATTTATCCGATTTCAGGTTGGAAGTGTATTGGAAGAAAAGGAATCAAGGCACAAAGTGAGAGAATAATTTTTTAATTATAATCAAGAAAATACCATTTATTCACAACACTCCGAGAAGCTTTGAAACTTCAGGAAATATGAAATGAAACCCATAATGCTCAGAGGGTTAAATAAAGTATGTTGGGCTATAATGTTTGCTACCTAAAATTGCACACTTCACTTCTTTTGCACACTTCAGCTCATTCTGGCTATTGCTCTATTAATGGGAAACTACCAAAATTCCAATTATTGCAATCTTGCTTGATTAAAGCTGCACACTTCAGTTTATAAGTAAAAGGTTGGCGACTTTAGGAAAAATATTTATTTGACAATAGTTATTAAACTGATTAGCAATAGAATAAGAAAGCTTGCTTTAATACCAAAAGAGGAAATTTGCTGCCCATAATGCTTAGATCTTGCCAAAAAAACAACAAAGCCATTCATACTGCATTGTTGGCATGTGAGAGATGGTATAAATTTCAGAAGCGGCAAATTTTAGATCATCGAATTTGTGGTCTTATACTATATTATAAAGGTTGTCATTATGCGTGAAATTATTACAAAAAAATAAAGTAATATAGTCCAAGTGCATAAAGTTAAAACTTTCTCAGATTTTTTTTTTCTAAGTTAACAAATTTATTTTTATTATTTAGCATCCATAATTAATAAGATATAAAGAAAATCAAAGAATACATAAATATAAAAAATATTTATTCCAACCTTGTGTTTTTATCATATATTGATTTCACAAGACACTTTATTTACTTTACAAGACTACATAAAAACATCCTCATTGCACATAAACGTGTACAACTGCATGATCGACTTTTATAGTCCATTTTTGGTTTGCAATCACCTGGCACATGACAGCCCTCCATTCAATTACAATTAAGTCCTGTAACATATCCCTCCCCCTTTATTGCAAATTCAGTCTGTTTGGGAGTTGTCGAATTCTGGTGGACCAGCACAAAGGTTGTGGCACAGCTGATGTCTTTGGTACTCTGTTTGTAACAGCAGCGGATATGGTGAATAAAACATCTGGTAAAATCCTGTGCTCAGAAGATGATGCCGACTCATCCAGCTAGTGGCTATTATCTTTAAATGGTTCTGAGACTCCACTTTTATCAGCTTCTTTGGAAATTGCAAGAGCTGGAGGAAGCCATATGCAGTATGCATCATTAATAGTTCCTCCATCATGCATCTGGTTGACATTTATAGTTAATGGATTCATTCCAGGGTTAAAAAGTCCCAAATCTCTATTTTCGGTTGCCCGGGTGATAATTTCTTACTGCCACTTTATCACTAACCCTAAATCCTCAGTCAGCAAACTCGTAGGTTCCTTTTCGAACTCTCTCTTCCACCCTCCTCTTGATATCTGGTCTCAATACGTCAAATCTTGTCCGAATTTCCCCCTTCAACATTAGCGCTGCAGGGTTCTTAAGACTGTTTTATTGCAAACACATACAGTTCAACCAGCCCATTACCAGATGGCTGAAATGGTGGTGTGGTTTTGTATTCGATTCCATTATTCTGGATGAACATCTTAAATTCGTGTGAAGTGACCTGTAACCCGTTATCACTCACTAATAATGTCAGTTACATTGGTAATCTGAATCATGCAAAAACGTCCGGTAAACATTCCATTGTTTTGAAGGCTGGGCTTGATTTCACTGTGTAGGTTTCTAGGCGTTTTGAGTGAGTACTGACGATTATCAAAAACTGGTCCCGCATAATCTACGTGAATATGTTCCAATGGAGTGCTCGTATACTCCCAATGATGGACCTTTGGAGAATCTAATTTATGTTTTGCACATTTATAACAGTTTCTGGAAGTATTTTCAATATCCTTATCTCAATTCCAAAACACATGAGATATAGCAACTGCTTTCATCTTTACAGTCCGTAAGTGTCCGTCGTGCAACTCTTTTAACACATTCTCATGGTATTATTTTCGAATACAAAACATTGGCAATGCATTATACAGCTATCCTGGAGACTGCTTTATCTCTCCCCTTTCAATTCACCGTTCTTTTCAAGGATATGTAGCAGAGGACAGAGTTCAGCATCAGTTTCAGTTTCTTTAGCCAAGTCTCTGGCAGTGACTGGTGGATTATCAATCTGCTCAGTTTTAGCCAAATCTCTGGCAGTGACTGGTAGATTTTCAATCTGCTATAATTGAAAAATATTTACACCATCCTGAATAGACAGTTAGTCTGAGTTTGTCAGTAATCATGAAAGAAAGCCAGCATTGCCATCTTCATTTGTTTTACGGTAAATAATGTCAAATTGGAATAACTGTACAGCTAAGCCGTAGTGAAAGAGTCTTGTTGCTGCCAAAACTGGATGTTTTTCTTTGAGCTGAAAATTGCAACAAGAGGTTTATGATCTCTAATTAAATTTCCAGCCTTTTAATTAGAGAAAAAAAATTTTTTGTTCTGCAGATGATTGAAAAGGCTTCTTTATAAGTTTGAGAATACTTTGTTTCAGTAAGTGTTCTAGAAGAATACGCAGTTGGCCTTTCAGTTCCCTCCCTCAGTTTGTGGGAAAGTACCACACCTAACCTCACTAGTGATGCATCAGTTGCCAATGTTAAGTGTAATTTTCGATAATAATGCGTCAAAACTTTCTGGGAACACACTTCTTTTTTAATGTTTAGGAAACCCTCCTGACAATCCCTCGTTCAAACCCATTTTGAGACTTTCTTAGTTAAATGGTATGAAGGATTTGCAATTGTTGATAAATTTTGGAAAAATTTCCCATAAAAATTAAGTAATTCCAAAATTTTTTGAATTTCTGGGACATTTCTGAGTTTTGGGGCTTTGGCAATTGATGATATTTTTTCATTCCTTTTATGTAAACCATTAGCGTCAATTTTACAACCTAAAAATTGTATCTAATCTAAATCTAATCTAATCTGAATCTAATCTAAATTTAGCTCTGAAATCCATTTGCGACTAAATATTATATCAAGGTTTCTTTAACAATATAAAGATTTAAATTTTTTATTTTGACCTTTATATTTTACTATAACTGTACTAAATCTTAAAAGTATAAGTTTTTCTCCATTATATGTTTCAATTACTAGACTAGTATTTTGAATTTTATTTTTCCAAATTTGCCGGAAAGTTTTAAAAATCATTACCAATACCAGTCCCTGTATTCAGTTCCATAGCTACCCGTTTTCCTTCTATGTTCACTTACACTAAGGGTCTTCAACCGGTGGTCCGCTGAAGGCATTTTAGTGGCCCCACATTTGAATTTGAAGAAAATTGCATCAGCTTTTCGTCATGAAAAAAAAACTTTTTTTTCTCTTATTCTTGATATTTAAAACATTTGATTGACATGCCTGATATTATTGGAGATAAAATTTTTTGAAAATGAGGAATGTTTCAAAAATTTCGTTTTATCTTATGTAATTTTAAAGATAAAAAAAATGGACTAAGCATAAAATCTCTAAATCTCATTAAGACTCTTTTCCTCCAAAAAAAAAAATAATAAAACTGCTTTAAAAAAATGATTCTGGAGAATTTTTTCGTGGCGTCTGTACGAACGTATGTGTACTTACGTATCTCGAATAACTCAAAACGAGTGGCCTCAGAACGTTGAAATTTTTGTATATAGGACTGCTATAACATGTAGAATATGTGCACCTCGTATTTTGGTTGCAATCGGCCACACCAAACGTATATAAATATATTTATATATATATCCACTCTGTTACCACCCGCTCAGTGATCTCAGTTTCTTTACTCTTTATATGTTGTAAATTGTACATTTTTTTGCTTTAAAATGATTGAATTATTTTTTTTTTTTTTTTTTTTTTTTTTTTTTTAAATCTTCCGGTTAAGGATTTTATGCCTTTAGTAAATCTGTGTGCAAATTTTTAGAATTATTAGCAATTTTAAAGTTGTTTAATTGCCGCTAAGCCCTTTTTTTTAATGACAGCCATTGATGTTTACATTTAAAACAGGAGACTAGTGGATTTTGGTTGCCAATCAGAGAAACTTAGCTTCGCAACAACAAATAACGCATTCATTTATTATTGCCAATTAAATCATGCTTAATTCTTTCTGGAATTTTTTTCGAGGAAATAAGTATTTGAGATTTACTTCGTAATTTTAATATAGATATTTTCAGTTTTTATATACTCCTTTCCTCTCTCGCGAAAGTGGAACTGAATTAATTAAATGAGAAATACTCAATCGTCTGTGGAAAAACTGTTTCTTTTTTTTTTTGTTTTTGCTTAATATTTTTTACATATCATTCTAGCTTTATTATAGTATTTGAATAGAACATGTGGCAATGATTAGATAATTCTATCTTTAATTTAAATGAAATAAATAAATTTGTGCATTATGAGTTATAATATGAATGAAATATATAAGTTTACTGTTATATAATTATTGGATTATATAACATTTAACTTAGTTTCCGTTATATAATTATTATATAAGTTAACTGTTATATAATTATTAATACTGTTAAGTGAATCTAGCGCCAGAGTGTCACTATGGTAAACAAATACTAGAGTGAATTTTAAAGAATGCATTTATTCTATTATGCACTGTCGGAGAAGTAGATTTAATTCAATCCAATAAGTTCAAATGAAATGAAAGATAAAATGCGTATAATTTAATATTCTAATACAAGGAAGTCATGTGGTGTACACATCTGATTTTTTTAAAAAATAATACTCATGGCGCACCAGTGGCCGAGCATTAAAATCACTGAACACTGTAAGTTCCAACCTGCGTTCAATTCCAGGTGAACAGGCTGGCTGCATAGGTGTTTCTGTGGTTTCCTCCATGTGTAATGCATATATAAGGCAGTTTCCTTTAAAAAGTCCTCCACGAAGTCATCCCTCCTTTTAGACAGATATCCCTAGATAGCCTTAATGTGTTTTGCCAGATTCTATCAAACTTAAAAAAACTCATAGTTTGAATTTCTGTTTGCTTTTAAATACACATTACCATTATGTAACATTAACGTAAACAAATTAAATTAGCTTGAACATTTCCTCTTATTTTATTTTTTAAATGATTTAAATGCATTTTAAATTTTAACCCTTTGGGTATACATTTATTTGAATTTTTTTTTTGCACTATAAGCATATTTAACCCTTTAGCTACATTTAACATATCAGTACGTCATGCATTTGTTTGGGCAAAGACGCACATGACACTCTCATACATCACTGAAACTGAGACAAGATTTAGCTAGTTCATTTTGGTTTATTTCAGAGTAATGTGATCTGTACTTTGGTTAACCTTGTTTCGGATACACAACCCTATATTGACAGAAATAGAGACTATATTGTTGAATTTCTTTCTTTTTTCCTCCGGTGGAGTAAATTTTTCTTTTTCTTTTCTTTTTTTTTTTTTAATTTATCGTCTGTCGCCGGTTAGGTTACGTGACCGGCGGTAGAGAAAAATTATAATAACTTTTTAGTTCAGTTTTTAGTGTGACGCTTGAAACGATCAATTCTTGGCCGCATAGCGATAATCAACAATTATAATAATTGTTCTTGATAAAATTAATCTTGCCCTATGATGGGGAAATTTATATTATATGTAAATTTCGAGTTTTGAATAACATAAATAATGTACATAGGCTCTTCATTAAATATTTCTGTGTTTCAACTGGAAGTTCTTATTTTCGAGTTGAGTCTTTACGTGAAAAAGGATATATTGACTATATACTTGTATATTCTCGATTAAATTGATGTTCTCCCAACTCGTGAATAAAAGAGAATAGTAGTCATAACGTTCAAGTTTATACATATATATTATCAAAGTGACAACAACAGTTTTAATGAAAATAGTGATTTTGAATCTGATGAAGAATTTTAAAATGATCCTTTAGGCGATAAAGAGAAATTTCAAAATGAAAATGGTGAAGAATATATCGAACTAGAAAGTTATAATGATAGTGAAATTATTCCAAGACGTAAAAGCCATAAAAGACACTTATTAGGCAGTGATAGTAGATATTCTCAAGAAAAATTAGATGAATGGATTTGGGTAGAAAAAGAAAATGTACCTGATGTAAAATGGTTTTCTGAAGTACATAAAATCAATACTTTGTGCTTGGGAAGGCTAGGTGATAATCGTAAAGCTTTAGATGTTTTTAACGAAGTTCTAAATGAATATTTTTGAAATATCATAGAAGAGACAAACAGGTATGCCAGAGAAGTAATTAAAAAAGAAGGTTTTAAGAAAATAATTAATTAATTAATTAAAGATGATATCTTGTAAATCATCACTTTGATAAAATATATTCTCTATTTCTGTGATTATCGGGTTTATAAGGTATTCCCCCCCCGGCCTTCTTGGCATGCCTTCGTGGTGTGTGGTCTGCATGCTGGGTGCATATTCCAGAGGTCTGCGGTTCGATTCCTGGCGAAGGTGTTGCTAATTTTTCATCTCTCCTGCTTCCAAAAATATACCTAATGTCTCAACAGTGGCACCTGAACTATAAGGGTGTTAGATGAAGATTCTCTTCACCCAGGACTTGGCGATTAGGTCCCCTAAAACCCCAGTCGCCTTTTAAAAGGTCAAGTATATAAGGTATTTCTCCCGCTTTCTTGGCGTGCCTCTGAGGTGTGGTGGTCTGCACACTGAGCGCGTATTCCAGAGGTCCGTGGCTGGATTCCCAGTGAAAGGCGCTGCTAATTTTTCCTCTCTCCTGTTTCCAAAAAAATACCTAATGTCTCTACAGTGTATCCCAAACAAGGTTCACCAAACTACTGAAATTATTTGTTCTGTTGCAACATATACACAATACTTTAAAATAAACTAGGAAAAACTAGCTAAATCTCGTCTTACTTACAATGATGTATCAGAACGTCATGTGAGTCTTTGCCCAAACAAATGCATGACGTACTGGTATTATATGCATTATTGTCATATTTTTGTATAAAAAGATTTACTGAATTACTGCAGATTGATAGTTATATCAATTCCAGCTAAATCATTATGTTATTCTGGTAAACTATAATTCTTTTCTATTTCTTAGTGTGATAATATAAAAAGTACTAAATTTGAAAAACCAAAATCTTAAATCCTTTAAATTCAGAGACCCAACAGCTGCCGAGCGGCACAATCGCTGAACACTGATGGTTTGGTACGAAGTTTTAATTCCATGAATGGGCTGGCTGCATTGGGCGTTTTCATGTTTTTCTACGTGTGTAACGTGTATATGAGCCAATTTTCCTTAGAAAGTCCTCCACAAAGGCATCCCCCTTACGCAGATAGTCCTCGAATGTTTCCCATAATCACATAAAACAAACCAAACCTTTTATTCAGGTGTAAGACATTAATAAGAAAAGCTAACAGTAAACTTTAAAAAATAATCTTACCAATTTTAAATTAGGATCTACTAAACTTGCGCACTTTCGAATTTTTATAATACCTTTTGGTAAGGATTCAGAGGACTGAATGAAGTTGCCAGTCTTCTGCAAAAGTTCATCAGGACTTTCATCTAACATACAGAAATCAAAGGAAAAGAAATGAAAATAATGAATTGAATAAAATCTAACATACACAAAATTGATTAAACTATTAAAATTTTTTTCACTTATTATGATAAAAAAGAAGGGAAAATATATTATTTTTCTTCCAATAATTATAAAATTTTAAATATTCTTACAGCCAGTATCTTCATCTTTTCTTCCCAACTCTGCCCACTTTGGTTCTCCAATTAGTTTTTTGAATCTAGAAAATCAGGTACTAAATTTAGAAAAAAAACCGTAGTCTTTAAATTGTAACACACACACAAACCAAAAACAAAAAACTTATTACAATATATTACTGTTCCATAAATTAAAAGGAAAAACTTTCTCTTATAAGTACCATAACTTTAATTATATATACTCTTAAATACATTAACATGAAAGAAGTTTACTTGCAAAGATCACATACATTGCACAGAAGCTTTTTTTATTCTATACAGGAAGATTACCTTCTCAGAAGACCTAGCAGTCTTTCCATATTTCATTTTATTAATATATCTACTACCATAATAACATTATATTAAGGATCTTCTGTGAACTTAATCTATTTTTCATATCTGGGACTACTCTATATTTCATGGACTCCATTCCGGATATGAATTCCTTGCCAATGTGATTTAATTGACATTGGTCAAACAAAAAAAACCTTAAAATTTCGTGTTAAAGAACATGATGCATATGTTAGGAAAAAGGAAACACAGAAATCCGCTGTTGCCTAGCATTGTTGGAATGAAAATCCCACTTTCCATTTTTCTGCAGCCAAAATTATTCAGAAAATGTCCTCCATTGGTGAATTAAGATTTTTTAGAAGCGTTTCACATCCAAAAAAAAAAAAAAAGTTCCTGTTCTAGTTAATGACCCCAATTACAATCCATCTTTTTCTTCAGCCTTTAAAGAAATTTTGTTTTAGTTTTTCTTGTTTCATCAATAGATGGCGCCGGTAGCTTAACTTCTGTCCAATTTTCCTTATCTTATCTCTATCCTTATCTTATCTTTCTTCACCCTTTGTTTGGTTCATTTGCACTTAGCAGCTGAAGAAGGTAGTTTAAAAACTATCGAAACTAGTACTAAAAAAAAAAAAAAAAAAAAAAAATAGAATTTAAGAATTTACGCTGATTCTTAATGCTGGACTTTGTTTTTGATACACAGAAAAAAAGAAAAATGGTTCACCAGCAGCCGAGCAGTAAAACTGCTCAACACTAATACTGTGGTCTGAGGTTCGACTCCTGCTAACGGGCTCAATGGGTGTTTTGGTGAATTTCCCTATATGTAACGTGCAGACGGAGCCAGTTTAACTTAAAAGACCTCCCCGAAAGCATCCCTCCCCTTAGGCAGGTAACCCTTGAGGCTTTGCCATAATTACACAAACCAAAGCCAAAAATGACATTGCTGATTAAAAATAAAGCACTTTTATTTATTTATTCATTCATGTCTTCTGCCCTAAAAAAGTGTACCTTTTTAAGGAAGAAGTCCTAAAATGTTTTCTCTATGCTTATACTTGATGCATGTTAAGCATGTATTTGATGCATATAAAACATAAGCATGAACAAGTTAACCACAAACATAATTATAAGCATATTAAGCATGAAACTGCACAAAAGCCTTTAAAACTTTTCCTACATCAGGGCTCGTACATATTTCTGCACACGGAAATTATGTACTTTTAAGGACTATTAATAAAAAAAATTAAGGACCTATGAGCAAATGGGAACTGAATAAATTCAATTAAAAATATTATCTATGCCTGAACTTCACTTTTGTAATTCTATCCTAAAACTAAAAGATCTCTAAGTAGAATGCATTATTATTAAACATAAATTAACATAATTAGTAATAAGTTTGAGAATAAAATAAACTTTATGAAATTAATAAGTAGGTTATAATGGCTGGACAGTTTTTAAAGAAGTTAAGTGACATTTTATTAGCGCTTTTCTAACACTTAGGTTCATATTGATGCAATTTGTCACATTCTTGCTCAGTCTAGAGGTTTAGTAAATAGCAGGTAAATTTTATGTCAAGCGGCATAGGTTAAAAATGGCAAGTAAAGTCATAATCAGTTTGATTCATAGCAAAAGACTCGCTGTTGTCACCACTGCTGCTTGCCCAGAGAGAGACCTGCTGATCAGTGGAAACTTGAAAGGCCTAATGCAGGCACAGTTGGCAGGTTTTGATAGTTAGTTGATCTCTGTCTGATGCAGTTAGCATCGTAGCTTCCTGCAGAGTTCCAGAGGTTGTAACAGAGTTAATATTCTTTAAGGTTCCAGCAAACCACTAAAGCAGCAGAGGTGATAAGCTGTTTTGTATTATTTCAAATCTCACTAGATGCACAAAATAAGTTTTACATGAAATTTTACATTTTTGTGTTTTAACTTGTATCTTATCAGTAAGGATTAATGAAATGCAATAACTCACTTTAATGTGCAGAGATTATTTTTAAGGGTAAGCATTAGTTATAAGTAATTAAATTCAATAGTTAGCTAAACTTAGTCATTATGAATTTACATGGCCATGATTAAATTTTTATTTTAAAAACATGTAATTTATGACATTTTTTCTTAAACGATATTAGGATAATTACACATTATAAGTAGTTTTTGCTACAAAACATAAATGTTTTGTAGCAACAACACTCAACAAAATATTTATGCATCTTTTAAGCCTTCCCAGACATTTTGGCTAATTTACATCGATTTCCTTCGCTTCTTTTCTAACAATTCGAAATTTGTCTCAATACACAAACCAATGTTCTCACTAGTTTATGCGTGCTTTATCTAACTTGTCACCTCTCCCCAATGTACCTATGAGGATTTACTTGATTTGCTAAAGGTTAAATAGTCCAAAAGCCCTTGCCAGACCTAAAGCAAATTATCACTATGTTTGAAAGTAACTTACAAAGTCAGACAAAGGTTTAACAAGGTTCTTATTTAAAAAGAACTTAGAATATAATGGCATGTTCTTATGCTAACAAGATCAATTACAGCTCGTGGTGATGTAATTAAACAAGAAGAGTCAAATTCGAACTAAAAATGTGGACTAGTGGTCAAAGACTCTACAACTGAGTTTTAAGCTGGATCAGTAACTATGGCGTCAAAACAAATTCAAATGTCGGCAGCGATAATACAAAGATGAATAGTTACAAATTATCATAGCTAACAGGAACTAATGCAAGGAGCAAGCGGAGGTCAGAAACACACTCTGTATTAAACTCCAAAAACTATCTAAGCGATTTGTATTCTGATGTGGAAATATAAATAAAAAATTATAGTAAAGGCTGAAATTATAAGCAACTGGGTAATTTACATAGTTATAACTGTACATATCTTAGAATAATTTTATTTCTCTTTATGTATTCAGTTTCTTTCTTCAACATGTTTCCTTTTCATTTTAGAATTTTTGGATTTAATTAAAGATTTCTGCTATTCTAAATAAACTAAACACATTTAGAATTTGCAGAAAAAGCTCCTAATTTTATTTCTTTAGCAATATGAACATTCAGAAGAAATACGAAATGATATATGGATAAGGGCCGGTTACAAAGCTGGTATGGCAGAATTTTTAGAATTTACAGACACACCGAGCAACAAAATCTAGAAATGGGAAAACTTTTAGAATTTAGAGCATGTATTGGAAGCAGAATTTAAAAAGGCACTAGGTACCAGAATTTAGGATCCACCGAGATTGCATTAGGTGGGAAAATGCCTAGTTCCAGCCCTGTGCATGATGATGCATTAAAACATATTAGATGGATCTTTTAAATTGTCAGCTTTCAATTCCTTTCTATAATGCCTGGCCATGTGATACGTTTAGAAGCATTTTTGATATTTTCCATGCTTGTACCCCTTGAAAAATAGAGAAAATAAAAGGAAGATAAACATGTTAAGAAAAGATTCTAGTATCAGAAGTAAAACATTCAAATATCATGTTATTATTGTTCTTCCAGATGTTCTCCAAAGAAATTCATCGCAAACTTTCTGTAAAATGCATCCATTGCATGTTAATACCATTTTCCCACATTTTTCTGGAATCTTCTATAATCGAAGGGTCTATAAATTTTGCCTTTAAATCCTACTAAAACTTTCGAAGCTGCAATGTCCAAAATGCTACAGAAAAATTACCCTTACAAATTCTGTAACAGCAAAAAGCCAGAAATATTTTGGGAAAAAAAAAGAGGGAAAAAGTGTAAAATTAATTTTATAGAGAAAATTAATACATATTCTGAGAATTCTGAAACAATTATATGGGAAAAACTCTTACCATGAAAAAATTCAGAAGACATTTTTAATAAATTACATAGCTATTTTGCTTTTGCTAAGAACTAGTTCGTAAATTGTACTTTATAACATACCTTGTTTATTTTCCAGATTCAAAATATAGTATAATAAGTGGGCAAAATGGAACGTATATGACAACGGAAAATGTTTTATTTTAATGTTATTTTTTAAATATAATTTGTATATTACCATTATTTTAATGAAATTTATCAATGTTACAATGTTTAAAAAAAATCATGGGAATACTCCCAGATTTCAGATCTTAAACATTTTCTATGGAAAGTGACCTTAAAATCACCAAAATGTTGATAAGTTGCTAAATTTAGAGCCATTTAATAAAGGAATTCACATCCCTAAAAGCGAAAAGTTGTTTAACAGCTCTTCATTAGAAAAACTGAAATAATTTTGAAATGCTTATGTTTCACTTCTTGCTCAGAAACTTGATTATCCCACCATTTATATTAGGAATAGGAGCAAATTATAACCCATGAACCCATTCAAAAGATAACCATATTTGTCAGTGAATTACCAAAAATATTCCTCCAAAATGCTGATTCACACTCAAAATGGCAGTCGTAAAAACAGACAGAAATTTCAGATGATTAAAATTAAGAACCTTCTGCCGATTTGGGCCAAAATTAAGGACTTTTAAGGACCAAAAATCGATTCCAAAATTCTTAAGGACTTTTAAGAACTCTTAAGGACCATTCGAACCCTGTACATGCGTTCCTTAATGTGAGCTTGAGTAAAAGTCCTTTCTTTCTTCAGTTGTGGTACTTTGACATATATTGAAATAACTAACTAAGATGGAAGACGTTCAAAATTTTTTTATACTTTGATGCAAGTTAAAAAACGAATTGCCGCATTTACTCGCATATTTCTTCCCCTCGCATACATTTCCCCGTAGGTTTTTTTCCAGCATATGATCTAGAAACTTGACTTATGGCCGCAATGTAAAATGTATGTATAAGAAATTTTTATGAGAATAAAAAGAATATTGATAAGTCCTTTGAAATAAATAGTATAATAAGTGTATCTTTATGTTTGCTTTTAATGTGCTATGATTATTATTTACACCCCAGAAACAGTATACATCATGTATTTTTGTTCTTCTTCCAAGAGGTAAAATTAGTCTTTAAAGAGAAGAATGCACAGGAGTAAAATACATAACATGAATCCGTATAAAAGCATTTAAATTTTTTTCTAAATTTGTACTTTGACTCATATCACAAACTAAAATAAATAAATAAATAAATAAAATGAAGTAGAAATAAGTTGATTTTAGATAGTTAAATTCTTATATCAAAAAGAATGGTAATAGTCCAATATATTGTTATTTTATAAGACAATAAAATAATATTGCTTGTTTTCTTTTGATTCTATTAGCTGTAATAATAAAGAATACAAAATATTATTTCACTACGTTCTAAATGCAATACTTCAAAATTGTAGAAATATATGATTTTTTAAATGTAAAATACAAAATTACATAAATTTCTGAATGCATAAATACAGTCAAAAGTCTTTAATCCGGACTCGTCGGGACTTCGACGACTCCGGAATATCGATTTTTCCGGATTATAGATCATAAGTTTAAATCTGGTAAGATGGCATGCAGATATTATAAAATTAAAAATATGAAACCGTAATTTATAAAATAATGAGCAATTATGATCTAAAGGGTATCAAAATTTACAAAAAAAGAAGCTTAATATTTATTTGTTTACTTTATTAAACATTTCTTTCAACGCGCGCATGCGTAAAGCATACCCTACGCATAGCCGGAATTAGAAAATTGCAACCAGAAAACTATTTGATTTGTATTCATGATATTTATAATGACGAGAAATTTGATTTAAATCATATCAAAGACGGAGTTCATTGAGATGAAATACTACATTTAGTAAGGAATTATAAGCCAAATAAAATAAAAACATCTGCCCTGAAGATAAGGATAGTGCTGACAAATCAACTTCCAATTCATAGCGCGCCGCGACGGCTCCCCCCCCCCACGCTGAGCAGCGTGAAATTTATAAACAGATGTGGGAACGGTTAGATAAACAAAGGATATGCCTTTATCCATTTTTTATAGCAATTTGTTTTTTGTTTGATGGACATCGAAGCATACTTTCGTTTTCAAGATCCTTTGGGAGCTCCAGCATCCGAAATTCTATTTGATATCATCGAAATTTCAAGCTTACTTTTATAAAATTGCTCTTACAGTCTGCAAAAAAAAATAAGCCGGATCCAATTCGAAGATTAAGGAACAACGCAATCATCAACATTAACTGAAATAGATAATTAGATAATTTTAGCTTATGACCGTCCATTTTACATGAAACGCGCACGCGAAAACGTATTCTGCGCTTGCGCAGACACATATGCGCAGTCGTAAATGTCTTGCGCGCACGCATAAAACGCCTATGCGCATGCGCAGAAAGATTTTAGCTTTGAGGTCCGGATTATAGATCATTCCGGATTATGGGTGTCCGAATTAATGACTTTTGACTGTAATTGCAAGTATGGAGGTACAACTGCTGCATTTAAAATAAACTATATAAAAATGCCATAAGAAATAATAAATATGCAGCTATAATTACTTTTCTTGAACAAAATCTGAGTACTTTTCATCACCTCGTAAATAAACACTTCGATGACAATTTTTCAGGGTTTCTGCTTTTTCTTTAACACTATAAAGGAAAAAAGGAAAAAGAGCATATTAAAAATATAATCATGGCATTTTTGTCTTATCCAATTAAGAAGTTTATTTGGTGTCAAAGTAACATATGCTGAATTTTGGCACCAGAGATTTTGGTTTGCAGACTCTTTAACTCTCCAACTATCTGGGTATACAAAATTTCTCAAAGTTAACTATTCCAAGGCATGAAATTTCTTTCTAGTATATTCAGTTACTTTTTGCAAATTTTAAGGAGTGTTAACTGCAGTTAAACACATCATGTAATTGTAAATCTGATTTGACTTCCTTCAAAAAAGTTTCTAGCTACTGTGCCATTTTCACTACTGCAAACCAAAATGCATTTTCTTTAATGATTTTTCATCTCAATGCATGGGAACTGGATCATCTTCAACTTTTTGACAATATTCTATAATGTTTAAAAACTAACAGCCTCCATTCTATCATTAGGTAAATTTTAGAGACAATGAAAATAAGAAATGCAAAATATCCAAAGGAATAAATATGCAGGGTAAATACAATAATATTCATCATAATGTTAAGGATTTCAGGAGGGTAAACATTTATTGTAAAGTTACCATCACATCTTGGCACCAACCAAGTTTCTCACTAGATGATGACATAAATATACCACACTAAATATCACTGTACATGTTTCAATACATAACATACACATATATTCAATTGACTCAAAAACAAATTATGAGCAACACAACTATTTAAAAAATCTCAATAAGAAACTATATCAATGCTGTTTAAAATCCATTTTTATCTACATATATATATCAGATGATTCAAGCAGAAAGAACTGTAACAGAAAAAATAAAAATGCAGTAATTCAAAAAGCACTATAGTCATCTTGGAGAACTGGCGTTTTGTTCAGAACTTTATTACAATCACTGAGGACTGTCCTTAAAATCTATCCTTGTACAGCTCAAAATGTACTAAACTAAAATCAACCAATTTGAGACATGTAACAAATTTGCAAATTGGGTTTTTTAACAAATGGAAACAATTCAGACTGGCTGTCAAATAACCTGTAGGCTGATAAAGCACACTTTTTGTATCTTGAAATGCAAATCTACACAATTGAATGAACTGCTTTGCATCAGACAAAAATTATTGTGAGGCATAAATTCACTGCATCCTTCATTATAGGATCAATCTTTCTTTCAGGAAGTCCACATTTAGTGGGACATTTTGAACTGTTTCCATCACAGTCAGCCATTATGCAGCACTTTTAATACAAAACAGGATTTCCTCCTAGTAAGAAAAATGCCCTCTACAGTAACATCCATGCAGGATAAAGCATCTCTGCATAGATCCTGCTCAGTACCTGTTCTGATCTACTTATGATAACTGCGACCTCGGTCACTCTTTCCTGCATGAATGGCCATACCTAGAAAATACCTAGAAAATTTTGGTTATATGCACACGTATCAGAAGTCGCATGTATACAGAAATCAGCCAACATTATAGGCCATTCTGAAAGAAGTTATATGCCATCTTATGAGAGGAATTACAACCGAACCCTCTTCAGTGCTGTGCAGAGTTCTGCCTGTCAGTTAGCCATCCTTATGAATGAACAGTTGTAATCTTAGCTGTGTTGCATCATTGTTTGAACTTCTGAGACAACAAAAGCACTATTTGTCAATAAAAAACAACTATTCTGAAAATAAAAATTATTAAAAAATAATCCCACATCTTTCTGTGCAATTCTGGAAAAACTGTATACTTATTCTGTTACTTTTGGATCACTCAGTGTGCATTACAATTGCATGAACAAGCCATCAACATTGTTTTATCAACTGGCCAATCTATTAAATTTCTATAATGATATCCGAATAATCATCACATATATTAAAAAAAGTAAATTTCAATCAAATTTAGTATTTTTAATGACTTAGATTTTGAAAGAAAAAGTAACTAAATTTTACAGAATTTTTTCATCATCTTCATCTTTCCATTTTGGCTTCCAAATTTCTGGTTCCTCACCTTCCTGTGAAAATAAACAAATAATAATTAACACAGTAGTTGAGTCACTTGATAATAAAATTATACATTATTAATATCCACAAATTAAGATTGCAAATAAGTTTAAATTCATTAAAAGTAATACCTTTTCATTCATTATGTGCTATGCTGCGATAAATATCCATTAAAAGTAATACGTTTAAGCATATAATGTTGGCTGATTTCTGTATACACGCACATAATGAATAAAGTTTATTCATTATGTGCTACCACACAAAAAATAATAAGTAATCTGATATGTATAACATTGCATCAGATCAAACTACTTAAAAATGCAAACAAATTGCTAACAGCATTATTCTTTTAGTTATAAATGGGTTATTCCTCCTTTCTGTGCTTTTTTATTACCTTCAGACTAATTGTGATTTTGAGTTACTGGTGGTTACTTGTTATTACGGCTTTAATTTAAGAGTTAAATGTATTTTTCATTTTTTCATTTAGCAATACAGCAAAAGTTGTAAAATGGCATTATGAGTGCCATTAGTTATTTAAAATTTATGATTATGCCTATCTGAAATTTTCACCACTCTTTTTAATGTTTATGTGACTTTAAAATCGTGCATTTTTAAAAAGTTACTTTATTTATTCAGTATTTTATTAGTCATTATTATTAACAGGAAAAAAAATAATGACGATTAAGTGCTCCCACCCTCCAATATAGTTCACTTCAAAATTGAATAAAAATTATTAGTATATGAAATAAAAACATGTAAACGCTGCATTTATTTTGGGAGAGAAAGTACTTTTCAAAAAAAATTAATAATAAAATATATTTAACAAATAAAGACTAACTTCTTTTTGTGTTTCCACCAGTTCTTCTAAGTCATCAGAATCATAACCAAATACAAACTCTCGTAATTCTTTTTCTTTTTCATCTGGACATTTAACGGCACCAAGTATCTCATGTAATTCTTGTAAATTTGATACCTGCATAAAATTTCATTTTTAATGAAAAATCTCTGGTAAAATATAAAAATTTACAAATTAACATAATCAAATAAATTCAGAATAAAAATTTATTGTAGCAATGAAACAGCTGACTGATGCCAGTTTCTGAGAAATACTGAAGGAGTTAGTGCCTAGTCATTTAAAAAAAATTAACATGATTAGAACTGAGTAAAATAAAAATTTAAAACGTAATTTAAGACACACATAAAATTTTATGAATAAAATAAGCATTTCAGAAAATCTCTCCATTGTCAATAAAAAATATGCTTTTCTTAAGTCATAAATAAAATATTTCTTGAATTGTTGCCTGCCTTATGGAATAATAGAAATAGGCTGGAAAACTGGATTACCAAAATTTGAAAACAAATTGGTAATATCTACTCAGTTGTTATGCTACACATTTATAGAACAGTGTACTACCAAATTTTGAGCTTTCCTTCAATACTCGGATGCAACTGCAATGCTTTAGAAAGATTAAGACTAACAGCATACTGAAGAAGTATATAATATATACTAATAATACTAAATCAATGGCTGAATTGATAATGATCAACATAGCAGGTACCTCTGAACCTCAATAACAGACAATAATATCATGCACATTTAACATTTTCGCATTGACAGATGAAAAGCTGTTAAAAGAATAGCATCAGGAATTAAAATAACTGTTAGAAGTCACCAAGTAATTTCATCTATAATATGTGCTTTTGACTGATCATAAAGATTAATAGTTATTCACTATGCATCTCTATGACCTGGGAGGATCTGGATGCTCACACACCACATGATTTTAAGAAACTCAGTTTCAGAATAGAAAGAAATTACAATATCAGTATTCGGAGGCTTAACATAAAGGCTGTGGAGTCGGATTTGACCAGATTTTGAGATAAAAGGAGTCGAGTTGGAGTCGCTAAAAACAGGTCGACTCCAGTTTTTGCTGGACTGTTTGAATTTGAAATGAAATTAAAATGAATTGAAAAAAAAATAATGACGAGTTATTACTTTTATTTATGGACTGTATACATTAATAAATAGTTATTTTCTATTTTACTGACCTATTACAGTACAAAGTCTGTAATCTGGACGTCCATTATCCGGAATGATCTATAATCCGGACCTCAAAGCCACAAACTTTTTTTTTTGTATGCTCTGCACATGCGCGTAATGCGTTTAATGTTTACGCTTGTAAGTTTAGCACAAAAAATGAAGCAACTTAAACAAGTTATGTTGAAAGAAATATTTAATAAAATAAACAAATAAATATTAAGCTTTTTTTTGTAAATTTTGATACCCTTTAGATCATAATTGCTCTTTATTTCATAAATTACGGTTTCATATTTTTGATTGTATAATTTCTGCATGCCATGCAGATTTAAATTGATGATCTATAATCCAGAAAAACCCCTAATCCGAAATCGCCGAAGTCCCGACGAGTCTGGATTACGTACTTTGTACTGTAATAAATAAACATAAGGGAGGAGGATGGATGTGATATTAGCCATTAGTGATTAAACTGATTCATTTAATTACAAATCTCACTGATAAATTTAGGTAAGCAGCAATAGCAACAAGAACTCCTAAAATTAATGCCATTCTTAGGAAGCGAGAAGAAAAAGGAGCAATTATTGACCAAGCAATGCGATAAGGAAGTACATACGAGGGCTATCCAGAAAGTAGATTACGTTTTGGAATAAAAAAATAAACAAAGTATAGGAAACAAATTTTATTATATACAGATGAAAGCCACACTCAAATACTACTTTTCTACATAGTCACCATACAAATTAAGGCATTTATCGTAGCGATGTACGAGCTTGGAAATTCCTTCGTCGAAAAATTCGGCCGCCTGCGCCTTCAACCACTTCGTTACCTTCAACCACTTCGTTTTTGGGGAGAACTTGTGTGCCCCCACTGCATTGATTGCAATTTCGTTTCACAGTTCACATGTTTCACCCATGTTTCGTCACCAGTAACGATGCGATCGAGTAAAGAGTCACCATCCTTATGGTAAGCGTCCAAAAAGTTCAACGCTGCAGCCATTCGCTGATTTTTGGAATCCATCTTGCACAAAACTTGTGGTAACCAAGCTTTTCGCTGATGATTTCGTGCAACAAACTTCGCGAAATTTGTGGAAAACTCAAAGAAAGTTCCGTTATTGTGAAATTTCGATTTTCACGGACTTTAGCATCGACTTTTTCGAGAAGTTCGGCGGTCACTATGCTGGGTCTCCCACTTCGATCTTCGTCGTGAACATTGGTTCGGCCATTTTGAAATCTTATGACCCACTGACGCACTCCACCTTCAGTGATAATGTTGTCCCCATACACTTCACGAAGCTGCCGATAGATTTCTATCGGTTTACAGTTTTTTGCAGTCAGAAACCTTATTACTGAGCGCACCTCGCAGGATTTTCAATTAACGCAGACATTTCAAACCGTCACAGTATCTGAACGGAGCACAGCACGAACCTCTCACTAGCACGGCTAGATGCAGACTGAGCTGTGCAACGCTCTGACCCCAAGATGGCCGCGCTAGCCCCGCCCCTAGCGGACACAGACGGAAACGTAATCTACTTCCTGGATGGCCCTCGTATTTGATGATAAAGAGATTTTTAGAATTAAGAACTTTTTTAGGAGATGTAGATAACCCTAATGTTTCACTAACAGAAAGACTGTGGAATGATCTTGCGGAATGGGAAACTCTTCTTTCTATACCACATATAACCACAAAAAAACTGCAATCTGAAGAATTGACAGAAGGCGAGAATGGGATGTCTGAAATGGATGGTTTATTGCAGAAGGAATCATTTCTTCAATGAAGAAAAGAGAAACTAGTTTTCTAGACAATGAGATCTTGCTAGGTTCAATATATGGAGATCCAAAACACCAAATTTTCTTGGATGACAAACAAATTAAAAAGGCAAAGAAAGTCCTCTATGAACTTTCATTAAGAATGAAATTATTCTCAGAACAATTGGAAAATTCGAATCAGGACAGTCAAACTGCAGACATTGCAATTGAGTCTCTATCATCCTTTTCCATCGATGAATTAGATTTTCAGAAATATTTTTGGATAATATTGAAAAGGCTAAGGCAAAGCAAATGAAAATAAAAAGGAGCCTTTAGATATAAAAATGAAAAAATACAAACAAGATTTCTACACGGCCTTTGAAGAAATAGAGAAATATGATTGCGCTTGCAAGACACCTCTTTCAGAACTTCTAAGAATCTATCCTGAAAAGTTAAAAGAAGTAGCCCTAACAGAAATAGCTCTTCCTCCTAATCAAGTTAGTGTGGAAAGACTCTTCTCAGCTCTGAAGTTTATCAAATTGGATCTATGGCCCTCCAACAAAGAAAATCTTGCCGAAGCTATACTGTTTCTTAGAAATAACTAATGCCAGTTTTTCCATTTCACGATAAATTCTAATTAATATACATAATTTTCTATTCCATCAATTTTTTTTTTTTTTTTTCTGTAGCATCTATTACTTCTTTTATATTAAAAAAATAAGCTGTAACCCATGTATATATGTTTACACACACACACACACACACATATATATATATATATGTACTATATGAGAGAGTCGGAGTCGGTCATTTTCCCTACCGACTCCACAGCCCTGCTTAACATCTATAATTAACAGGTGAATATAATCATTTCTTTTCCTAAATTACTAATTGAAAAACTGGGTATAACATTTTTTATATAAACTACAGAAAAAACATCAATTTAAAAAAAAATCAGCATTATCTGTCCAAATGAAGAAATGTCATGGCAAGACAATAACGGACAGATGCAGCAAAAAATTTTATGTTGGCTAATTTAAATCTACATATAGGCAGTGCTGTAGACAGAATTTATAAGCCCTTGTAGCGATTGTGGTGCAGGCCCTGTAATTATTATGGTGATGGCCCTTACACATAATATAAAAAACTAATCAAATTAGATTAATGGGTAATTACTTTATTACGCGAAATGCATATTTGCTTAAAATTTAAAAGGTGCTACTTTCATAACAGTAAATAAGAGTAAAAAGTAAATAAAACTTGATTTTCCAAAGCCCATAACTAGGTATATTTCACTATGAAAGCAAATTTTATAATGCAGAAAGGATTTGCGAAAATAGCTACTTTAACTCAGCCTTTTAGTTTTTTTATTTAATTATTTTAATTTTACAATTTGATGTATAAAAAAGGAACTGACACCACAGTTTAGCTCCTTGAGACTTGATCTTTTTAAAAAAAAGAGGGCTCAAAGTGTCCTTTTAAAAGCACTAGGCCTGGTAATTTTCACCAGATCTAAACCCATCTCTATGGCACTACGCAGAGTATAACAGAACTGATGTTCAGAACTTTAATACATTTGTGATGATCATGACATATGTGCATCAACAGCAAACACTATGTCGTGGGCAGGTGAGTCATACATGAATCACTGTTTAAATTCACTCTGTACCTGGATGTGCCTAGGATACCAACATTTCTCAAACAGCAAATATAATTATTAATCCAGAATAATTAATTATAATTTATAATTACCAGAATTTAAAATAGTATGCACAGAAATCGAACAACAGCAAAAAATTCTTCTTACTAAAATTTTACAGAAAAATGAAATTCCGATTAACTTCATTTACAGTATACTCAAAAAGGCTGGATTTCTATCTTAAAATCTGGATTTAATACCAGATTTTCAAAATGTGGTGGTAAAATTTTTCATCTGCTGAAATATGGGGGACGTACACAACAAATTTTGCACACAAAAACTGGATTTAATACCAGATTTTCAGTTAAAGACGAATGTTTTTATTCTTTTTTTGGACATGAGGTTTCACACTATGTGTATTATATTACTCCGTGAATCCTCTCTTTAGGAGGAATACAAGAAGCGATAGCACAAACCCACTGTCCCCCTAGTAATACTCCTAACACTCCCCTAAAAATTTTATTAATTTGTTTGTTAGGAGATTCAGCTATGGTAATGAAACAGACTTGGTTTTTTTTTTTTTTTTTTATTATTATTATTATTTTCTTTACTAGTCACGATCCTCTGACCATAGCTTAGCACACAAGTGCTACCACACACACACACAAGTTTTTTAAAAAAAATTTTTCTTTTTTTTTTCTTCTTATCGTAGGGTTATATTTGTAGTTGGTCTGTTTACATTCTGCTCAATGAGCAAATATATTTATGTTGTAATGAATAGAAATATATTCTAGAAAATAGCACCTGTAGTGAATTTTCAGTACTTACATATTAATGCAACCACTGTAGTACTGTCACCAAATTTTCAGAATAGGCCAAAATCTGGAAGCAGTACTCAAAGCACTCTTGCAATCAAGTAACATCACCAATTTCAGATATGTTCTTTTTGTTGTATTCCAAGTTCCAATAGATTTTATATACAAATTGTGGTATTTTTTGCCTTAAACTCGATTTTTAAATAAGCACTTGTGGAATTTGCAGCAATGGAAGGGAAGAGAGTAAAATTTCTGCAGAAATACAGTATTTTGCTGCAAAATCACTAAAGGGAAGAATTGTTTTGAATCTGTTAAAGCAGTCAGCACTAAATATCTACCACAGCAAAAGAAATAAAAATCAGCCTGTTAAGTAGATTTATTTATTAATTTTTGGAATAAATACCTAATTAGAAAGTAAAATAAATATGTAATAATATTTATGCACGTAATAAGTTAATTTTTGCTACAGAACTGAATGATTACTTACATCATCATTCTTTTTCGTTTTTACAAATTGCACCAGTACGTACTGAATTTTCTGCTGTTAAAAATGGCAAACATGACAAAGAAAAGAAAATTCCTTTTAATGAATCAAATTTCAATTCTAGCATTTTTTGTAGCATTATTAATTTATCTGTGCCTACATAGAACATAATGACAGAATGAGCATAAGAAATTAATCTAGGAAATCCTCACTATGAGAGAATCACACGGTATTTACTTTTTCTCTCTTTTAAGAATGTGAAGATTATTTTGAAGGTAATTTCTTCCACAAGTTTAAAAATATAATAATTTTATATTTAATAAATCCTCACTAGATAATTGTTAAAATACAGGGTGTTCGGGATAAATTTGACATATTTATAATTGATTATATTTTTCCGTAGGTTGGAGGTATTGACACACTACTCGTCATTTAAAAGTTTGGACCCTTCTTCATTCATATACAAGATGTCAGAAAGGATGGATGACTGGAACCCACCTACCTGAATCATGGAAGAGAATAACTTGCATCATGATGATTCGTGCCTGCCATCAAAATAAGGATATTATGACTGCTGCCCAATGCTCCCTGAACACAGTAAAAACAATCAGGCGTGAACTAGAGACTTGCAATGGTGACTATGAGGATGTAGCAAGAAGAAAGATCCCTAGCAGACGATCTGATTGTGTTTGTACAGCAGAATTTCTCGCAAATCTGCAGGAACAGGTGTTGAAGAACCCTGGCATTGGAGTTTAGGCTTTAAAAATGTAGTCAAGCCCTGGATAACAAGGGTAGCCAAAGGTAGGCCATATGTATGGCAGCAGGATTCGGCCCCTTGCCACACCTCTGGGAAAAGTCAAAAATGGTTGTCTGAAAATTTCTACGACTTCACCAGAGAAAATGTTTGGCCTCCAAACTCTCCAGACCTTAACCCCATGGATTATTTTGTATGGGGCGCAGTTGAAAAAGACACCAATCGCACTTCCAGTAATACAAAAGCCCAGTTAATGGATAAAATTAAAACAGTTTTTGAGGCCCTTCCCAGGGAGACTGTAGCATCAGCTTGTTCGAGGTTTCGAAGCAGGATTAAAGCTGTGATCGATGCTAATGGTGGTTATTTTGAGTGAATCTTGTTGATAGTATTGTAATTTACTCTGGCTGTAATTTTTTTTTTTTTTTTTTTTTTCAATTCATTATACTTAATAGATACAAAGCGGATTTTCTTTTTCCTTACGAAACCGTCAAATTTATCCCGAACACCCTGTATATGCGTGTTTAACTATTTATGTGCAAAAAATCTGTATTTAATGTAAAACTCAGAAAGAGAAAAATTTAAACAAAAGTCAGAAAAATATGACCTAGAATCTGTAAGATTCCTTAATCTGTATTACCCATAGTTAGAAGGTATGCACTTTCTACTATACAGTGATTTATATTCAATAAATCTTGATTAAATAACTGTTAAAACATTTTGCTATTTATTATATACATATTGTATTTAGTTATTATTTAGCTACTATATTGTATTTAGCTATTTATGTGTGGAAAGTCTATACCTGATGAAAAAATCAGGAAGGGAGAAGTGTAAACAAAACTCAGAAAAATGTGACCTATAATCTGCAGAATTCCTTCTGTTTTATCCATGGACATGAGGTATGTGAATTATTATAATTCTGCTATACAGAGTGATTTAAATTCATATGATTATTCTCCATTCATCATTAATTATCAAAACTACAACATTCCACTGAATGATTTTAGTTCGAAATCAAAGGGAAAAAAACTTGAATCGGGAAAATCTAGTTATAAATTTAAAAACAGTTTTAATCTTACTTACACCACTCGCACTAGAAAACTGTAAGATTAATTTTATTTCTGAACAGTATCAAAATGGTTTATCAATCATGTATAATATACTGCATTATATACAATGCCATACTTTACTTAATAAAATTATGGTTTATTAGCATTAAAGTTCTTTATTATTAAAGTTCTTTATACATTTTGATTGTTTGTGGGAAGTACATGTGCATGCTTGCTAGTTTGTTTGTGTGTGTGTGTTGAAATACCTATTATATACTATATTTTAGTTAGGTTAAATGTACACTGAAATGAGAATTAATGGTAAAACAATGCTGAAAAATTTCTGTTGTATAAGAACTAACCTTTAGGCAATTAAGCCAAGAAACAATGGAACAATACATGAAATACAGGAATAAGTTACAATTTAGGTAAACGTTTCATCAACAATACCTCAGTTATAGAACTTTAATTTGCTTTAAGCTGCAACATACATTATCCTTATAAGTACTATTGGTGAAGGAAAAAACTTATTTGCTAAATCTCTTAAAATATTAAATGATTTTTTCAGTTTATTTTAAACAAAATTTTAAAAAAAATAGCCTGACATAATTTGTTTTAAATTAAAAAGAATATTCTACTAATAAAATATTTGATGAGACAATTAATTTAGTTTATGACCATTTGCCAATATTTTACTAGATTAATCATAATTTTATTTGAAAATAACTAATAACAGAAAATATGAAACAAAGAAAAGTACTCACCACTTGTTTCTTCTTCTTATGGAGACCTTTTATATCAGATTTAAACAATTCCGAGTTTGAAGCAAATTTCCTTTTTTTCCTACCAAAAAAAAAAAAAAAAAAAAAAAGAATTTCACGAAATGTTTGAGAATTTTACTTGTTAAAACTTCAGAATTAAGACTAATCTATATATTTTTTAATATACATAATATATACAAACTTAGATAAAGCCCCTTACAGTATGATGAATGTAGATGTAGATGCAGAGCCCTGCTTGGATTTTTTTTTTACCTGAACCAGAAAAATATGTACACACTTCTGCACGCATTGCAATAACTTGTGTATATATATATTAAAGAGAGAAGATTTTTCCCATAGTATACATAAGAAATTTCAGTGTATGGAAAAAAGTTCTTTGCAGCTTGATTTTATTATTTCAGAAAATTAATATACGCAGTGTTTTAATCTATTTATTATAGTAGCTCATTTATTAGTAATTACTGACACAGACAATTATATATCAGCATACTCACATCAATAGAATAAATTTTCAAGAATATGCAAAACTTTAGCAACTGCTGAAGTTGCCTATCTATTCAATTTTAAGAATGAACACTAGCATTATGGCGTTTTCCGTATACCTACAATTACGATCAGCGGTAATTTTGACCACTTGCTGCGACTAGAAAAAAAGGCTCATTTATTGCTATTATTATGTAAAGCTAATACTTATAATGATACGTTTTGCTTGTATAATAAGTAAATAAAGTAAATTGAGTAAATATATGCAACCAAAAAATATTTTAATGTAACAAAGAGCAAAATAAAGTGAGTAAATATATTAATCGATGGATACTTTAATATAACACACAGCTAAAAGAAAGAAAAAAAATCACTCTGAATGTTTTTTAACCTCTTATCAATTAATAAATTGACTCATACAAACTTAAGCTTATGGGAAGGGTTGACGAAAGTATCAATTCTCTTTTCATCAGATACAGGAAGCTTTTGAATTTTGGATGAAAGATAAATCGTTTAAAGCTCGTCAGCCATATTCAAAATAAAATCATGATGGCTGATATTCTTATATTCAGTTGTTTCCTTATAAATTATCCATGCATTTATTGTGGCGAAATCAAGATTTAAAGAAAAAAAAAAAATTGAACTGGCCAAAGTCTGGATAAGGACTTTTATTTAAGTATTTTTGGGTCATCTGGTCCAAAACATGAACTCCATTATAGTCAGCACTATTGTGTCTTAATGAACTCCATATCTGATCAAATTGTAAAAATTCACAAGTTCCAGTGCCTTTTTTTTTCATTAGATGCAATTTCCAATGTTGGGTGCTTGATACTCTTGAGCAAGACATTTCTTTTTTTTCCTTGATAAGACATAAACACTATATTGTCATGCTTAGCAATCTTACTAGAACAGAGCTAATCCCTCATTTTTTGAAAGAATAGTACTTCTCCTTTTTGAATGATTTATTGTGTTAACGCAGCTCATCCCTGAACTCATTTCTTTTACTGATTCCAGCAGAATAAAAAAAAATGTCCATTGTCAGCACTATTTGTAAGCAATACTTGAAATACCATCAATTATTTTTCACCTTGCGTATGAGGTTGGCCCAGCTACTTCTCATAAGACATTCTGCTGAGGATGTCTCCCTTTAAGACTTGCAGAAATATTTCCTATTTTCCAAACTGAACCATTATTCGTTGTTTCTTCATCATTTTAAATTTCCTTACTTTGGATACATCTTCCTTGTTCTCGAGTTCTGTTTTGTTGCCTTTCATTACTTTCTCCAGCTCGACTTCGGCTGTTGATTTCACTTCCAGAAACTATATGAACTTACTATACCTGGAAGGCAATGGAATATTTTTCTGGTATAAATTTTTACTTTTCTTTTCTGTTTCGTGAACAGATTCTCCATCAGACGAATCGGATTCTTTTGTTTCAGTAGGAATAATAGTCCTCATCGAATAAATTGGATATAGTTTGGTAAGGATAATGTTAATTTTCCTAGCAGTTAAATTTTTAGTTAAAGTTCCTTTCCTATTGCTTCTTAATTTCAACTTACAACTTCCGGCCAGAATGTAGTTTGAATGCAGATTTAAAGAGTAGTATTTAACTGTGAAGTTCTACTGTCTTAGTGAGAGAGAACCAGAGATTCTGCCTAGCACGCGTCTGCCTTTTTAGGCTACTCTTTCTTATGCTATTATTATGCTCGGACATACTTTAGGCCCTTGATAGCTTCACAGTTTATTAGCGTTAAGGGGCCAACTCTGTTAGAAGTTTGATAGCTTCGGCTACATCTTTTTCATTAAGATTAGTTTAGTTTTCTTAGTATCTTAAGTTCAAGCCCGATTGTCGGCTTTATTGTAAAACTCCAAGACAGAGTTCTGTTAAACTTTAATTTGGAATAATAAAGGGTCTTTAACCTTTTTCGAGTTTCATTCACTGTCTTACGAACTCAAGCGATTATTCGCTTACCAAGTTCTTAAGATTCCTCAAATTCAACTGTAACTTAAAAATAAAAATACACAGTACAGAATCTTACAGTTTCAGAATAAAATTCTTCATCGGGTTCACTTTCTGAAGTGTAATTACCACCAGAAAGGCTTTCAAAACCTTTCAACATCTCTTCCTTCATCAAATATTTTCTACCAATGCCTCCACGCAACATGATAAACAGGTCAGAACAACAAAACTATTCAAATGAAGTAAAGTACATTTGTGTCGACAGAAAAATAACCTTTTTAACACAAGGGAATGGGCAGACACGTGGCATGCGAAAATTCCAAGCCTGTATTTTTATTCCCTTCCTTCTTCCCTCCCCATTCACTTCTGTGTACTATGCAATCTTCCTTACCAAAAATACACTTGTTTATTTATCAGCAAACCAAAAATAGCTAATAAAGTTTTAAAAATAATGAAAAATATATCATTTTTCCGGATACGGCCAAAATGACCGATAGCTGTAATTCTAGATATAAACAAAAATATTGACTAAAATAATTATTTAAAATGGACCAAAAAATATGTTACATTCGCAAGTTTTAAAAAAAAGTCAGAAAATAATAAAGTTATAAATAAGGAATTAAAAAGTTATGTTCAATTAAAATAGAGATACAGTTAAAAATGACTGTAGCTGTAATTATAGTGTTAATATTACCACTTGATATGTGTTCTTTTTGTTGTATTCCAAGTTATAACTATTTTAAATTCATAAATCATCATATATTTTATCTTGAACTCAATTTTTAAAATATATATATATATATATATTTTATATTGAACTCAATTTTAATATATATATATATTAGATTTGCCTGTAATAGAAGAAACTGCAATAAATTTTCTGCAGAAATACAGTATTTGCCACAAAATTACAAAAAGGAACAATTGCTTAGAATCTACTCTTAAAATGACAACCATGAAATTTCATTTAGAACAATAGAGAAAAAGAGCTCACTCTTATTTTATTGATTTATTTTAGAGATAAATACCTACAAAAATTGCCTAACCATGCTATGGTGGTTGCCAAGCTATATAAGTACCTTCACATGAAACAATAAAACCATCCAACCACGACCTAAGTTTTAAATTATTTTGATCTTCTGCAAAGATTACCTCAGAAAATACGACAATCAGAGATTTTGAATACTAATGTTCATTTAAATTTTCAGAAATACTACCCACTTTAGAAGTACTCACTATATGAGTTTATTTATTCTTGAAACACATGCTGTGTTGCAGCTGTTTCCAATCAGCAGTGCTCAGTTTGCTATTTGGGGGAGAGGGCATCATTTTAATTATGAGAAAATATACCTCCATTTCATTCAATTTGTGTTTTACATTTAATTTTTGTTTCAGTTTTTCAGACTTTTGTATCTTTTTAAATACAATATTTCATTTAATCAAATAATATTAGAAAATTATTTTTTAACAAAATATTTTTTTCAGAAGTTAAATTTTCCTTTATGCATTTACATTCTACAATATTTCCAAAATGAGGTAGATACATTTAAAAAATTTCAGCTAACTGAATGTCATTGCCCATTTTCCAAGAACAAAATGCATCTAGATCATAAATTGATCATCTTGTGGACTTCACAAGTCTTCTAAAATGTATACTTAGAAAGTAAGACTATATTTCATTACTGAACATTTCTGATTGCACAAAAACATTTTAATGAACATATAGAATGAAATTAAATTCATTTCAACTATATTTACAAAATCCAGGAATGTTTACAGAATTTAGGATTTTCTCAGGACATATCCTGAAGTACAACAATTTATTGAAATGCATTATCCCAACCAATCTAGAAACCTGGTCACTTACATTTATCTTCATCAAAGGTAACGCTTCCAAATGTAATAATATAAGCACGGTTTTATAATTATCAAAATACAATAATGTTTCATACTACCTAGTCTAGTCCAGTTAGATCAGAAAGCTTTGATATATTAAATTTCGAGCATATTGAGCATAGATTATTTTCCAACTATTTTTTATTAAAAAAAATGTTACTGCAGCAATAATCATGTTTCCACCTCTAGTCTAATTAATTTTAATGTTTTTCACTTCAGTTTTTCTATATCAAAAGCTTTACTGCCTTTTTATTGTTGTTGTTTCAGTATTCTTGAAACTGTGAATCTAAAAAAATCCCAAACTTTGAAAATAAATATCTTGGTTAATTTTTGTTATATTTAAGTCAAAGATTTTGTGTTCCATTTTTCAGAATAACTTTTACTAAATATAACTATAGATGCTACAAGGACCAGTAAAAAACTATTTTTACACTTTTACAGAAAAAAAATGTAAATTTTAAAAAGGCAAAACATGATCATTTGCATCATCTTACATTTTATGTAAATGGAGGTATATGTCTATGACTAATGGGTACAAAATAAAGGCTTCATAAAGACTTTTATAGACATGAAACAGTAAAATCTCTCTAACAGGCACACAAATACCTGGAATATCAAAATAATTTCACTTTTGAATGTCTAAATTCAAATCTAGAAAAAAATGTGGAAAACATTTGAATTGTATTTCTGCCACCCATCATAACAAGCCTTATCCAACTAATGAACATAAAAATTATTTATACTATAAAGATGAATTAGCAATCCCTTTTTATGTATCAGCGTGTGAACTTTGAAGGTAGTGTCCATGATCGTATAATGTGAAAGGAAGCTGAGGAAGGTTAGCAGATTTTAAAAAGATTCATCAAGAAATGTTCTTTTATGTCAATACTTGAAGTCATATACTATGAAGTGTCACTGTATACTTAAGAAATTTTTAAAACTACAGTGACAACCCTGTAAGCAAGCAGTTTTTAAAGTTGCATGATATTACACTAAGAAATTTATAACTTTCATGTAGTAACATATATGATAATTTTAAAATATTGGTTCATTTTCCTTTTCTGAAATATAAGATCATGTGTATGTGATCTAAATAATTTATATGATTTTATTTCACTATATTACTCATTTCACATATTTCCCTTATTCGATATTATTTGTGTCGTGCTGCAATTTCTATATGTGCAATTACAAAACATGAACAGCTAAATTCTTGTAATATATATTCAATTATTTGGTAAAAAATCTCCTCTCAAGTGAGGAAGTTGCCATTTCTGCCACAATTGACTATTTTTTTTTTTTTTTTAAATGCAGGATTTTTATGTTTATTAGACACTCATCAGTTTGTCTTCTTTTCACTTCAACTTCCATCAACTCCTACCAGATTAATTAGTTAGGTAGCTAATTTCATTTAGTTAATTAGAAAGCAAAGAGTTCTTAAGTTTGAGAGTTTCTTGTGGCAGCTATCAGTAACCATCTTGCAACTATATATCCAAGCATTTGAATTATTTTAATCAGCTTTAGCCTTGCTAACTGTAATTGCTTGCAAGAGTTTGAGGGTATGAGCTGAAGCTTGAAGGCATGCTTTATGTGATAAATCTCATATTTTAATTAATCTCATATTTACTTATCTGTGTGTCTGTTATACCCGGAAGCTGCGCAGCCCATTTCATATAGATTGAGTAAATGTTTGGCGACAGATTGATAAAAAGGTTTATTTTAAACCCTTTCTGTGTTAATTTACTTAGAAGTTAAGATACAGCAATAAGCTGCCCGACTGTTTTTACACATCCAGTGATTAACTTTTGAAGCAGTTTCCATATAAATATAGATTTTTTTAAATAAATTTAAAAAATTTATTTTATATAAAATCATGAGTTTTAAATGCCACAGTCTCCCATGACAAACCAACACTACTTTGCTTTATATTGATGTGAGACTTTAAGCACAATAGGTGTATTTGTGAATAGGGCATTAATGATTCAGATACTAACAAAGAAGAAATAATCAAAATTCAAGGGTTTTTGTCTCAGTACAGAATGACAAAAAAAACTTTTTCTTTTCCCTTACTCTGTACTGAGGGTATTGGACGCATAACTGATTTCATTGAAAAATCCTTTTTATAATGTGCAATTTTGAATTACTATGACATTTAAACTGGATAAAATGACACTGTGATAACATACTGTTGTGCATCTCAAATTATAAGGTTTCAGTTTTAAAGAATGGATTACTTAATTATTTAAATTAGCTTTCCACTTAAAAAAATCATTTTATTAAACTATTAAGTCTCTACAACATACAGTCAAAAGTCATTAATCCGGACTCATTGGGACTTCGGCGATTCCAGATTATCGATTTTTCCGGATTATAGATCATCAGTTTAAATCTGGTAAGATGGCATGCAGAAATTATAAAATTAAAAATATGAAACCGTAATTTATGAAATAAAAAACAATTATGATCTAAAGGATATCAAAATTTACAAAAAAAAAAAAAAAAAAAGCTTAATATTTATTTGTTTACTTTATTAAACATTTCTTTCAATGTAAGTTGTTTAAGTTGCTTCGTTTTATGTGATAATACTTTCTTTTTAATTCTATAAACAGACATAATTTCTTGTTCAGTTACAAAGTTCCGCTGTTCAAGTCCCGTTTATTGCTGTGCCGAGAATACCGACTAACTTATCAATCGAAATTTTTTCGTTTTCACTAACCTCTCTGTCACATTCTTCATGTCTTTAACCATTTTTTGCAGCAATTCCACTTTTTGTTTGTTGGACATCGAAACATACTTTCGTTTTGTAGATCCTTTGGAAGTTCCAGCATCGGAAATTCTATTTGATATAATCGAAAGTTCAAGTTTACTTTTAGAAAATTGCTCTTACAGTCTGCAAAAAATAATAAGCGGGATCCAATTCGAAGATTAAGGAACAACGCAATCATTAACATTAACTAAAATAGATAATTAGATAACTTTAGCTTACACCATCCGTTATACATTAAACGCGCAGGCAAAAATGTATTCTGTACTTGCGCACACGCATATGTGCAGTAGTCAAGGTCTTACGCTCACGCGTAAAACGCCTGTGCGCATGTGCCAACGCGGCGCATACGCAGAAAGTTTTTAGCTTTGAGGTCCGGATTATAGATCATTCCGGATTATGGGTGTCCGAATTAACGACTTTTGACTGTATTTATATCAAATATTATGTATTAAATAAATCTTACCCCTCAGAAATTTCATCACTTAATTCTAAAGAATCGTCTTTTCTCTTTGTTACCTAAGAAATATACAAACTTTAATAAAAATAAAAACATTTACATACAAGCAATAAAAAATGTGGTAGTTACATATTAGTGAAACCACTCTAGTAGAAGTCCATGCTAACTTTTTAGTACAAGCTGCCATATGGACAACAAATGTTCAGTTTTAACAAGCACCATATGGACAACAAATGTTCAGTTTTAACAAGCAATGCCACAATTTTCCTATGCATTCTTTTAGTTGTATTTCCAGTTACAATTGTTTTTAGCAGATAAATTTGGATATTTTTGTCTCAAATTCAATCTTAAAAAATGCACTTATGAAATTTTCTTGCAGTGGAAGACACTGGAATATAATTTTTTCAAATGTACATAATTTTACTGCAAAATCACTAAGGGGGAACTCAAACTATTCATCAAGAAATTTCAGCCAGATTAAAAGAAACAAAAATGTGCTTGTAAGTATATTTACTAATTGATTTTTTGGAATAAATATAAAATTTTAAATGAATGTATCTAGTTGTAATGAATTTATCTACCAAAAAACGTTGTTAATAAAGTTAGAAAAAAAAAGCAGGAAAGCACTACTTTTAGTGCAGGTACTAATCACCACCCAAATCTACAATTTTCTGACAACGCTTTTGATAGTTTTTCAAAGGCTTCGGCCCAGAAACTTGGTGGCCATGAGTACAAAAATAGATCAAACTAGTTTTGGACATCCTGTGCACAATGGAAGACAGTACCAGCAAGATGTAGCTGCAGGTGTGGAAAAAGGTAGAAGTCTGAAGGAGCAATATCTGGGCTATACGAAGGCAAAAGCTCCCATTTGAGTCTCTACAGAGTCCAGCCAGTGAATGCAGACACGTGGTCTTGTATTATCTTGATGGAACATTACCTTTTTGGGCCAGAACTCAGTTTAGTGTTTTTCTTGATAGCAGCGGACTAGCATATTGCCGTACACCTTACTGTGGATAGTTTTTACCTTTTTCCAAATAGACTTTGTGGATAATACCATGGCAATCTCACCAGGTACAAAGCATGATCTTTTTGTGAGTCAAATTGCGCCTTATGACATTGCCAATGGGCTCAACGAACGCAGACCAAATATATATAATATATACAGTACAAAGTCCGTAATCCGGACTCGTTGGGACTTCGGCGATTTCGGATTAGGGGTTTTTCCAGATTATAGATCATCAATTTAAATCTGGTAAGATGGCATGCAGAAATTATACAATTAAAAATATGAAACCGTAATTGATGAAATAAAGAGAATTATGATCTAATTTACAAAAAAAGGCTTAATATTTACTGGTTTACTTTAGTAGACATTTCTATCAATGTAAGTTGTTTAAGTTGCTTTGTTTTTTTGCTAATACTTTCTCTTTTAATTCTACAAACTGACATAATTTCTTGTTCAGTTACAAAGTTTCACTGTTCAAGTCCTGTAATTGCTGTGTCGAGAATACTGACTAACTTGTCGAAATCGAAATGTTTTCGTTTTCAATAACGTTCTCGGTTACTTTCTTCACTATCGGAAGCATGCATGGGTAAACACTATACTGGCTTTACAAGCATGCGTAGCAGACGCATGCATCAAATGCGCATGTGTAAGTTTGTGGCTTTGAGGTCCGGATTATAGATCATTCTGGATAATGGACGTTCGGATTACGGACTTTGTACTGTATATATATTAATTTGAGTTCTTTCCAGCCTGTGTTGTTGAAATAAATTCACTTTTCATCACAAGTAAAGATCCAGTCCAGAATTTTGTCCCTGCATTGATATTTGAGCAGATTAGTGCAGTCCTTATCTCCTTGAATCAGCTCATGTAGCAAACAGGGATTGAACTTGTACATCAAGTTTTTGCGATGCATAGCACAACTAATGGACATGACACTAATGTGCAACTTCTTAGCTAGCTCTCGAGTGGTTGCATACAGATCTTCTTCCACAAGTTCTCGTTGGTGGGTCTAATCAACGTAGAGCTCTGCTTCTTGAATGTCATAGTCCTTGTGGTTGATCTTTATGGTAACTGGTAGTTTGGCGACATTTTGGAGGCGATAAAGGTTACTACCTGGGACTTTGGTAATAATGTGAGCAGTACTCAGTTCCGATTACGCATTATTTTGTGTGGGGGAAATGAGAGATCATGGGATATGTCATGTGATATTAATGGACGAATTACGGTTCTTTAATCGGAAAAGGGGGGAGTTTGGACAAGTATCTGTGGATGTATATTATTTTGTATTAAGCTTCATTGTGTGTTGTGTGAAGTAGGGTTGAATAATTTTGGGATTGTATGGCGCTGTCTAAAGTGAATTGTAGATGTGATAAAGAGAATTTTTCTTTTATCAAATTGGGAAAAAAAATCGTTCCGTAATTTATTGAATCCATAATAAAAGTGTATCCACCATGTAAGGAAGATTCGGAAGAAGATTAGGTTAGTTAGACTTTGTTAAGAATGTGAGTAGTATTCAGTTCTGATTACGCATTATTTTGTGTGAGGGAAATGAGAGATCATGGGATATGTCATGTGATATTAATGGACGAATTACTGTTCTTTAATCGGGAAAAAATCTGGCAATTTTTATTTGGCTTTATTCTGTGTTGTGTGAAATAGTGTTTGTGAATTTTGGATCCCATGGCCGTAACTAAAGTGAATTCGAAATGGGTATTTAGTGGTATTGAAAAGGATAGTAATAAATGTTTTTTAAGGTTGTGCGAGAGAGAAATAAAGATGTTTTATTATGTTATTTATTTTACCTGGTATCTTGCTTTGAAAGATAAGTATGATTTTAAAGATTCTGAAACAGAAGGAAGAAAAGTGTATCCGCCACGTAATCAAGATTCTGAAGAAGATTAGGTAAGTTAGTATTTTTAATTATTTGAGGATATTATTTTTATGCATTGTTGTAAATGTAAGGTGGAAAGGAATTTGGTATTATTGGGAAAAGTGTTATTAGCAATGATTTAGTTTAAAGTAATTAGGATTGTAAGGTAATTTTTATTAATTGAATGTATGTGCTCATTTATATTTTAAGTAGTGTTTTTGAATTTAATTATATTTTAATGAAATGATAGTTATTTTGTGAATTTTATGTTTGTAGGAATTTGGTATACGTTTAAATTGAAATAAATGTGCATGGAAATAATTTAAATATTTGATATTAAGTATTTGTAATGCTTGCGGCATGAATTCGTTGGTGATGTGTATAATGTAATAGATGATTTAAAGGTAAAAGTTTTTGGATATTCTATTTATTTTATATGTGGAAATGTTGATATTCGTAAAGGGTAAATACTTTTTCGCGATCATGTAATTTCATATATGTTCTTTTTACCGGATTTAAAGATTGAGAAAATTGTCATGTATTTTCATGAAATTTTTTTTAATTTATGAGAAAAAAGCAGTGTACATGGATATAGTGAAGAGTGTGCGCAATGCCATTTTTGTGCAATTCTGGGATGTTTTTTTAAGTAAAAATAAGTCGACGTGTACATGGTTTAGTGATATTTTAATGAAATGATAGTTATTTTGTGAATTTTATGCTTGTAGGAATTTGGTATACGTTTAAGTTGAAATAAACGTGCATGGAAATAATTTAAATATTTGATACTAAGTATTTGTAATGCTTGCGGTATGAATTCGTTGGTGACGTGTATAATGTAATAGATGATTTAGAGGTAAAAGTTTTTGGATATTTTATTTATTTTATATGTGGAAATGTTCATATTTGTAAAGGGTAAATACTTTTTCACGATCAGGTAATTTCATATATGTTCTTTTTACCGGGTTTAAAGATTGAGAAAATTGTCATGTATTTTCGTGAAATTTTTGTAATTTATGAGAAAAAAGCAGTGTACATGGATATAGTGAAGAGTGTGCGCAATGCCATTTTTGTGCAATTCTGGGATGTTTTTTTTAAGTAAAAATAAGTCGGCGTGTACATGGTTTATGTGTATGTGTTATTTTGAAAAATGCGTAAGGAGGATGGTATTGTGCAGTTTTTCCTAATTTTGCAGTGCATATTTGTCATGATTAAGCAGTTTTGTTAGATAAAATTTCTAGCATAAGTGTAATTCGGATAGTAGATTGTTGGAAGAAGTGTTCAGGAGATAAAAAGAAAAGAAACATGTCTTTACTTCGTGAAGACAAAATGGCGGCGGGGGAAAAAAAATAGAGGGTTGCTGTAGGAGAGTTGGTCGCCAAATTTTCGCCAAAAAATCGCCAAGTTACCATAATGTAAAGATCAACCGTCCTTGTTTTTGAAATTTCGGTACCAAACCTTCACAGTGTCATATGATACAACATTAGTACCTAAAGCTATACACATGATTTGGTGACCTTCTGTAACTGACTTTTTGCAATAGACGTGGAAGTAAACGATGGTTCTAATCTGGTAGCATAATAGTTGCATTTCAGACACCTTGTACGATATAATAACAATGATATTTTTTTTACAAATTTTACAATACAGTATTCTAAAATAAGTCTTTCTTTTAATTCAAAGCCAAAAATCATTTGACAAAATATGATTAAACATGTGAACGTGAACTGTTTGTGTGGACTATATTTGCGGTGGCAGGAAACTTTCATTAATTTTTTTGTTATTATAAACAATTTTCCCCCTTCTGTAAAAAGCACCTTATTGTGCCAATGTAGTTATGCTAATATGGAAGTATCAAAAATGATCTGATATATTAATAACAATGATATATCATCATACAAATAATTGCGATAAAATTTGGATTTTCAGAGTATTATCATCACATAAGACATAATTATATAAAAATTGCTAAAGGTCACACAGAGATCTTACAAAATGTTATTTCGTATGAATAACTAATTAGAGTTTCTATAAATGAATCATGCACGACTTCATGCACACAGTTTAAACTAACGTACTTAAAGGTAATAATTCCAGATTATTTTATTTTTAGTTTGCATTTTGTCAAATATTTTTGGCTAGAAACTATCTAAATTTTTTGTTTCTGTTTCGGATTTTTAGCTTAAATTGTGTGTTCAAAATGTGGTTTTTGCATGTGCGAAAACCACGTTTTTGGAGACATTTTAGGCTTAAAGCTCGAAATGTAGACAAAAAATTTAGATAATGATATGGCACTGTGGAGTTTGTTGCCAAGCAAGGTCGTATATAAGAGTAGTTCCAAAGTGCCAAACATAACGCGTCAAAAACGTGTGATTCTGCACTTAACCGCAAATACTTTGTGTATTGGGCTAATCTTTGGATTATGGTAACAGGTAGTTTGGCGACATTTTGGCAATAAAGGTTACTAGTTAGGACTTTAGTAGTGTATATGGATAAAGTCAAGAGTGTGCGCAATGCCATTTTTGTGCAATTTGGGGATGTTTTTTTAAGTGAAAATAGGTCGACGTGTACATGGATACCGTGTATGTGCAATTCTTAAAAATGCGGCAAGCAGTGGGCGATTCTGCACTTTCTCCCAATTTTGAACCTAATCTTCGTCATGATTAAGCACTTTTGTTGCATAAAAGTTCTAGCATAAGCGTAATTCGGCTATCAGATTGTTGGAAAAAAATGCTGAGTTTAAAAAAAAAAAAAAAAAGAAAAAAAACATGCCTTTACTTCGTGAAAACAAAATGGCATCCAAAAAAAAAAAAAAATCTAGCAGGTTGCTGTAGCAGGGTTGGTCACCGAATTTTCGCCAAAAAATCGCCAAGTTACCATAATTCGAAGATTAACCGTGTATTGTTTAGCGGAACATATTTTATAACTTCAAATGACACTATAATATACTTTGTGTATTGTTTAGCAGAACATATTTTATACTTCAAATGACAAAATTTTAAAATTAATTCTGACAACTCCCCACGTGTTCCTCTCAAAATGTGCAAAAAATTGGAAGTTTATGCGATTTTTTTTCCAGGCTTAGCAGGGCAAATTGCCCATCAGCTCAAGACAATGCATCTTATCTAGGCGGCATTACAAGAGAGTAGATCGGCGCCCGACACGAAAGATTTTGAAGCGAACAAATATTGAGCTCTTTTTGTAAATTTTGATTCTCTTACAGTCATACATGCTTCATTATATTATAAACAATTTTGGTTTAATCCTAGTATCCGGTGCACAAGAGATTTGGCTGCTTTTGGCGACTTTATAATGAGCAGTAAACGGGACATATAAGATGAATAGTTAAACGGATCATTTTAATGGCGATAATTTTTAAAATCGCGCCAAGGCTGCACCATATACTAAGATTTTACCACAGTTTTTTCATATCAGATTTTATATTCAGTACAGGATTTATGTATAAGCTACACAAGCTATAGCTTAGTGCCCTCAAACAATTAAAATAGACTTATAAAAGGCCCCATATCTCAAATAGCTTAGGGCCTTATCAAGACTAAATCCGGCTCTGTTTATACTGTAGAAACAGACAAGTACATTTACCAAAAATAAATAACAAAGTTACCTGTTGTTTCTCTTTATCTTCCAACTTCTTAATTTTCTTTCCACCTTTCTTTTTCATCTTTAAACTCTACAAATTTCTGCTATTAATTATACAATTAGTAACAGTCATAAATTATTAAATACAAAGTATACAAAATAAGCAGTTAATGTAAATTCGACCATGAAATATAGAGGAATTCATATTCACATTAATTCCTTTATTATACAAATCAATAATCTTATGTTTATGTGTGATAAAAAAATATCCTACACAAAATTAGCGTAGTTGGTATCATGAACTGAATAACAAAAAGAAACAAGTTATTGCAAATTAAATGAAGCGCTTAAAAATTTGGAAAGTTTTCATGAGCAAGTATTTGAAAATTACTAAAAACGCTGGAATTACGTCTCTAAAACCTAGTTTCAAAACTGATCTTTACTAATCTTACAGTTAGGTAATTTTCTATAAAAAGCTTGAAGTGAATTACCTCGAAGAAATTACGTTTTAAATCCAACGTTCAAAACCACGTTCTTCCGTTCTTTACTTATAAAAAAAAACTTTGTTGACAATTAGATGTTGCCAAATTTCGCAAATAACAAGCTCAAGTAGGGTAGTATCGCAATAGCGTTTGCTTGTATTAAAGAACTATGTACCATGTAAACTATGTAGCCATAGAGCATCATAGGCTTTCAAATATTTCTTCATTTTCGTTGATAAGCATTTTCGATTCTAATACGGATGAATTGGCGCATTAAGTTGCCTTATTGGGTAGTTCTGTAGCAAGGAGTGTCTCAATTTTAACGGAAATCCTCTTGCGTTCGAGAGCTTGGTGATTTTGTGTACTCTCAAAATTTTTAGTTTCAACCACTGCCATTTAGCGGGTGAGGGATAAAAGCCACTGAACAAATTAAATAATAACAGCAGGGATTATTAATATAAAGATTTAATATGGATATCTCAAACAAGCTGAAAACGTTACATTACTCTATTAAGTGCATTATTAATGATATTAATAAAAAATAGTCCAATCAGATGCGGCGTTCCTTCTGTTGACCTTCGCCGAGCCGTTACGTAATCGTCTGTCTGCAGCCGCCGTCTCCAATATTCTCCCCCTCTTTGAGTCGACTTCAGGTTGGCTCAAAGACATACAGTACCTGGTCGAAGAGATTCGATTTCTGAGGCACCTTGATCACACGTCCAAATCTTGACACTTTAGCACCTTGCAGGATGTTACTAGAGTCATTAGAATCTGAATGCTCATCACTAGAAATAGGATTGGTAAAAGAGTTATCGTTTAAGGGATCAGTGGATGTGTCCGTTAACTGCACTTCCAATGGAAAGACTCGCTGAATGGGACGAAGCAGCGTACCAGCTTGAGTCTTTTAGTTCTACAGTTCTCACCTTGCCATCTTTCCCAGGAATTAGTCGAATGACCTCAGCTAAAGGCCAATGCATCCGTTTTTTGATGTCGTCTCCTATTAGGACAATTTCACCCAACCGTAGCTCTGACGATGGATCCTTCTTATTTTGGACCAGAAGGCCTAAATATTCTTTCCTAAATCTATGCCTTAAATCATTAAGTAGTTTTTGGCGATGTCTAGCTCCTTTTTCGAAGACCTTTCGAATCGCAGAAATCAACATCGGGAACACCTAAGCTACGATTCTCGATGAGAAACATGGCTGGGGAAAGTGGGATTAAATCATCCGGATTTTCCGACAGATAGGTAAGAGGTCTAGAGTTAATTATTGACTCGCAGTCGCACAATACTGTGTACAACTCCTCGGTTGTAAAAACCGCATTACCGAGTGTCCTTCCCAACAGTTCTTTTACTACACGAACTAACCTCTCCCACCAGCCTCCTGAAAGCATATCTGCGAGGTTTAAATCACCTGGTACATGGCGCCAACACTGAGAAGGAATCAGACTGTTTATTTCTTTTATCCTATTCGCAACGAAAACTGACCAATCACCACGGTTCTTAATCCACCAGAGTGCTACCATAGAATCACTCCATGCAATAATTTTCAAAATCAGGCAAGTCTAAGGCGGTTTATACTGAGTGAACCAGTCTCGCGCCAATGCAACAGGCCATCAATTCTAACCGGGGTATTGTCAGAGATTTTAACGGCGCTACCCTGGATTTGGCTCTGATCAATCGATTTTTGACTCTCACCGGCGTTACAGTTCTAATGTAAACACATGCACCATAGGAGCTCTTACATGCATCAACAAATAGATGCAGCTCTGAATTCTCATTTATCTCTATTAATCGCGGAATACTAATTTTTCAAGATATTTAATTTCGTCCTGCCACTTATGAAAAGTTTTCTGAATGTCGTGTGGCAAGGGATCATTCCATTTTAAATTCATAGTCCAAGCCTTCTGTAATAGTAACTTAGGTAACAAGGTAGTTGGACTCAAAAAACCCTGCGGATCAAAAATTTTATGTACCATAGCCAAAATATTACGTTTACTTATCTCATTATCCATTGAATAATTAAGATTACATTTTAATGTATCGTTATCCAAATCCCATAAGATTCCAAGAAGAGAAGTTATACCTGAACTACGGGAAATACAATGACCTGGAACATTACTTTCCCAACCCCGTAGTTTAAAACATCCCCGAGCCATTACTTCTGTAGCCTTAACTATAAAATTTTCTTGCTGTTTGATATCGTGAACCCCAGTGACACAATTGTCAACATAAAACGAATGCTTTAATTTTTGGGTCACATCGTCAAACTCGGCAGGGGAATTATCCAAGAGATGCTCTATCGATGCAGAGAGTTGGAACGGAGACGAACAAACGCCGAACACCACTCTGCAGTGTCTGTAAATCATAGGTTCTTCAAGAGATTGGAAGAAAAAACCTCAAATAATCTCTATGTTCTGGGATAATACTCAGCTGAAGAAATGCTTTTTCTATGTCCGATGATAAACCAACAGAATACAATCTAAACCTGTCAATTATATCAGGTATGAATTCAATTAAGTTCGGCCCTCTATCTAAACAGTCATTAAGGGATGGCTGATTTCTCTCTCGGGCTGAAGCGTCGAACACCGGCCTTACCTTCATTGTCTGGCTAGTATGTTTTAAAACTGGTCTATGGGGCAAATAATAACTCAAATTATCAATTTCAGATTCAGGAACCTTTTCTATTATTTTTTTAGGTCTTTACATTGCTTAAAAACTATCTTATAGTCATCTAACTGATTTTCCTCATCAATTCGTTGACACGTTCTTTGATGCCTTTTAAAAGTCATAGACTTATTGTCAGGTAACAGAATTTCAGATTTAAAGGGTAGTGGCAATTCATATTGGCCATCAGGAGGAACATTTAAATTCTCTTTAAATTGCTTAACGGTGTCAGAGTGAGCAAGTTTACGTTTAACATCTTCAGTTGGATCTGTTATGCCAATGGCATCTAAATTCCAGAGTTCAGGTTACGCTAAGATTAGCACAATGCAACGAAACTACATTATTGCACAAATTATTTTGTAGTAATGCTGGAATAGTTAGCTGAAGTAGGTTCTTTAGATAAGCTGTTTACTTTACCAAATCACAGTGTATCCGAATTTAGTCTCAACTACAGTTACACCCGAGTTCAGTTTCAAAGAGCTGCCAGTAATAATGTCCCCAATGGCATCTGCTCCTAAAAGCAATTCAATGTCATATTCTTTAGCTTGCAAATTTCAGACAAGGTAATATTTCTTTCTTTTAATTCTTTTAGGGTATTGGGATCAACTACTTTCGGAACACATCCACATATTTTGTTTTGAGAAAGTACTTCAATGTTATGGTCATAAGTGCCCTCAAAATTTCTTAAATTAACATCAAACACTAAATCGAATGAGGACTTGTCTCTCTCCCCCCAAACAAACCGTAATGGTTTGTTTCGATTTAGGACGCAGTTGCAAAAACACGATAACCCTTTTTGAAAGATAAGATTTCTGAGAACCACTGTCCAAAATCGCACGAACTGTAAGTTGTTTACCCTCAAAAACTATTTGTAAAACAAGTGTTTGCAAATACACATTTTCATTAACAGTTGACTGATTAGACAACACATTACTGGAAATAACAGTACTGTCAGTTTCATTTGGCTTTACAGGTTCGCCATTTGAGCACATAATGGTATAGTGAAATTTATCACATGTTAAACATTTTACTTTAGTTTTGCATGCCCGTGAACTATGTCCAACTCGTAAGCAGCGAAAACAGGCGCTCTTTTGCACCAAAAGTTTTCGTTTATCGTCTAAAGACATTTTGCGAGCAGAAAAACATTCGGCAGAATTGTGGGATTTCTCACAAAAAAAAAAAAAAAAAAAAAAAAAAAACGTAAATTTCGCCTACCTGTATTGTCTTGAACATTTACCAAGGCAGCAGCTGTAGAGCAACGAGGATCATCACAATGGGGACGCGAATGTGCAAAACGTGAAGCTCCAAACCCGGTACGATCGAGCTTAATCATTTCGCGGGTGAGGGATAAAAGCCACTGAACCCTGGTATTTTGAATCCCAGTATTGCAACTCTCAGGGCTACAACGTGCAGGTTACAAATTAAATAATAACAGCAGGGATTATTAATATAAAGATTTAATATGGATATCTCAAACAAGCTGAAAACGTTACATTACTCTATTAAGTGCATACATATAAAGAGTGAAAAGGGAATTTCCCCGCTTAGTTTCTCAATTAAAGAAAAAATAAGAATAATAAAAAATAGTCCAATCAGATGCGGCGCTCCTTCTTTTGACCTTCGCCGAACCGTTATGTAATCGTCTGTCTGCAGCTGCCCTCTCCAACACCCAGTTCGAGTCTTGTCGAACGTAAGGCTCCTATATAGACTAAGGCTATATAGGAGCTCGTCTATGGTCTAAGCTCGTCTATAGACTAAGGCTATAGACGAGCCTTAGTCGAAAGGAATGGCTATATGAGTGTTTTCGTGGTTTTCCCATGTGTAATGGGAATATGTGGCAGTTTCTTTAAAAAAATCCTCCACGGGATATCCCTCTTTTTCCATCGTGTAGTACGGAGCGCGTAATAAAAAGAAAAACAATTGACATTTTAGTTTTCTAATTAAAGGAATGTTTCATTGAATATAAATTTTTTAATCTGTTTATGTCATTATCAGGTATGGCTTCCACTGAAAAAGAAATTTGCTCTTTTCCCGAAAAATAGTTCATTTCTTTCTAATTTATTTATTCATTTGCGAAATGTGTATGATGTGCATCCTGAAGTAGGAGGCAACTACTTTGTCCACCTTGCGACAAAAATTTACAAACTTATGAATACTGAAAGCAGAATGTTGGAAATATAGAACTTTGCTACATGGGTACACTGCAGATTTTTTGAAATATTACAAAGACAGACGATGCAGCTTCTTTGCAATTAGCTGATTTTATTGATCGATATATGGTGCTTCAAATTCATCTGCGATGTCGAATAGACTTCACTAAGGCTACTATAAAGTGTCTCTAGTAGCTCTAGATCTCGCCTGAGAGTTGTCTACATTACATTAATTTTTCGAAAGGAGACATGACATACTG